GCACGTCACGGCCTCGCGGAGGGCCGCCGGGGAGGGATGTACATTCCCCAAGAAAGGAAAAGTGAACTTATATGGTGCAGGAGCACCCGCCGGGAGCACTGCGGCTGCTCAAGCCCACCTAGCCTTGGCCAGATTAATGAATGCAGGCAGGGGAGAGGAGAAAAGAGGCAGGCGGGGAGCTGGCTCGGAGAGCTGGACCACTATTTCACTTCCCCTGCCGCCCTGAGCCCCCACATTTTGTCCCGGGCATAAATGAGGGAGCACAAAGAGCCCCAGGGTCTGGCGCTGTGCTATGAAAAGGAGCTGATGGGGAGCATGGAGGTGCGAGGGGAGCACCGGTCAGGCTGCAGGAAATACGGGTTATTCTCATTTAAATTCTCATTTAAAGAAAAATAGTTAATAAGTAAAAATAAGTAAATACGTATGAAATAAGTAAATACTAATTTTTAAGTAAGCGACCTCACAAGCTGATGAGCCGCGCCCTGAGCACGCAGGTCACGTCAGCTCCTCTCGGAGCTTTTTGGGGCTGCAACCCCACACGGCGGGGACACTGCCTTCATTTTTGGGAGCCTGTGCGCCCAGCGAAGGGCCACCAAGCAGCGATATCTGGGCCACCTCTCCCAGCACGCTGGCAGAGCAGGACCTGCAGCGCGCCCACACCAGCATCGCTGCACCATGGGGTGCAGACCCCGAAAAACTCCAGACCTCCAAAAGCAGCCGCGGTGCTCAGTGAACACAAGAGCATCCTCGTGGATGAGGGCTGTCTCCTACAAAAAAAAACACTCCGCACAAAAGCTTCTGAGGTTCTGAATCCAGTTTTTTTGCCTCTAGCAGGGACAGGCTCCCCTCTCCCTTAAACCTTAAACACGCGCCCCACTGCTACTCTCATCTGGGAGCAGAAACCCAGACCTGCGTGGAATGAAATGGGAAGGGGAGGCTGTGAAATGCTGAATTTTTAATTTTTTCTTTTTTTTTTTTTTAGGGGACTGAACAGCCTTATGCTGAGCAGCAACAGGTCACGGAGAGCAGCCTGAAATAAATTTGGTTTTGTCCAAAGCTGCAGAAGTGGGAGAGGGGCTTGGTGTCCTGACAGCACCGATGCCAAGCCTGTCCCGGGTAAGTGAGAGGCTGTTTGGGGCGTGAAAAGGAAAAAAAGGAGATGCGGCTGGGAAAGCAGAGACCAGGGCAGCAGGAGAGGGCAGGGGATGAGCCCAGGAGGAGGAGGGCACTGCAGGGAGAGGACGGGGTGACCGTGGACTTACGCTGTCCCATCTGTGCCTCGGGCACCCGCTCCCGGATCATGCGGCAGGCGTCGTACACCATGGTGGAGGGCTCGAACTGCATCGTCTTCACCACATTGCCGATGCTGATCTTCAGCGAGAGGGCAACCATGGTGGCGGCTGGACCGTCCCCACTCCTGCGTCACCTGCCGGGGGACACAAGCGGGTCAGCTCTCGGTGCCAGGACCCCGGGGACCGGGCGGTGGCTGTGATCTTCTGGGGCGAAGGAGATTTGTGTGCTCGCCCCACCAAATGCGCCTTGGTGCTGTGGTGGGGGAGCAGAGATCAGGGCTCAGCTCCCCAACTGAGCAAGGGCTGGTGGTGGCAGCCACCGAGGTCCTTCATGGACACGAGGGCTTCAGATGAAGCTCCTCACCCCGCAGCACCCAAGGGTGGTTTTGAGCTCTGTCCGGGACGGTGCCTTCCGAATCCTTCCCCCCAGCATCACGGGGTGGGTTCTGCAGCCCTCGCCCAGCAGCCGGGAGGAAACGCGTGCCAGCAGGGCGGCGAGATAAGCTGGGGCAGCGTGACGGGAAGGGGGTTAATTATAACCGCCCTGACACAGTAAGCCACAAGAAGGAAAACCCTGCTTTGACCCGAGGCCACCAGTGTCCGGCCCCGCTATCGGAGCCCAGCAGAGGTCCCACACGGCCACCCCAAGGTGCCGAGCCCGGAAAACCCGTGCGTGCTTCCTGGGGGCGCAGAGCCCTTGGGGAGCAGATAGGGACCCCTGCACCAGGGGGGGTGCCCCGTGCCCTCCAGAGCCCTCTGGACGGAGCGACCCCGCTCCTCCACCGGGGCTGACCCTCTGCAGGCTCCCCGCAGGCTCGGATAGCCGGAGGAGGCAGGAATCCCAGCGGATGCACACCGCATCTGCCCGGGGCCAGGCGGGAGGAGCGCGGTGCCGCCTCCGCCAGTGCATGGAGCGGCTCCAGCTGCGCATTCCTGAGCCGTTCGGCAATGCTGCGTGCAGCAGGAGCCCTCGCAGAGGCCCTCGGCCCCCGCCGACGAGGAATGCGAGGCGAGCGGGGGGCTCCCCCCCTCCACACACCCCGAGCACGCACCCTGCCCCGCAGCCCCCTGGGCAGGATGAGTCCCCGCGGCAGCCGGCGGTGGAAAAGGGTTTTTTCTTTTTTTTTTTTTTTTTTTTTTTGAGTGTTTCGCAGGCAGGGCGGGCTGCTGCGGTCAGCGGGCCGGCACTCGTCATCTTCCCTACATCTAAAAATATTCCGGAGCTGAGCGCAGGGCTGCCTTCCATCCCTGCCCCCTGAGCCGCCCTGGGGAAAGGAGGACGTGCAGCCTCCAGGGCAGGGTCAGGACCACGAGGGGAACAGCATCAGATGATGAAATTAACTCTGTCCCAGCCCAAACCTGGGTAACGCTGAGGGGGGAGAAAAAAAGGATGGTGAGAGCAGGCAGGAACCCGTCCAGCTGTGCCAACCATCCCAGCAGCCCCACTCTTTCAGATCTTTGACCAAAACAGATCTTTGGAGGAACCCAAACCCTTTTTGGAGGCGTTTCCATCACCAGAAGGGCAAAGGCAACATTTTGCAGCAGGGCAGGGTCCGCCCCACAGCACGCACGCCCTCCACGACCACCAGCAGCCGCACGTGGCCAAGGCGAAGGCTGAAAGCAGGGTGCGAAAAGCAAAGCACAGAGAGCTCGGGCTGGGGGGAAAAGGGCACTTGCCGTGGGCGTTGCAGCTCCACACCCGGCGTAACGCTGCAGGCACTCACGTGCAAGGTGCTCAACGCCCCCAGCCAGCAGCCCAGGCGCCCTGGCTGGGGCTGCAAAGCAGAAGTGGCCTCTGCTGCTCACAGCAGCACGCCCCGAAGCCCACGGCAATCTGGCGGCGCCTCGTCACGTGCGGTGGTTTGCAAATCACCCCGGGTGCCTCCCATGGGCACCAGGCAGCAAGGCAAACGGCATGGCGATGGGCGAGCACGGCCACCCCGTGCCACCCCTCGGGATGGGGGGGGGGGGGGAGAAAAAAGTTAAAAAGGAGAAAAAAAAATAATAATAATAAAAAAAAAAAAAGGCTAGGTGAATGCACACCGAATTTCCTGGCCAAGCTCCAGGGAAGGCAAACAAGCCTCGCTGGCAAGCGAGGGCAGACGGGGCGGCCGGGGGCGCTTCTGCAGCGAGCCCCGGTGACGCAGCGGGTGCCAGCCCTGCGGCCTGGGCAAGGGGAAAAAAATAAAGTTTTATGTTGGTAACGGTGATGGAAAAACAGCTATCAAGTTCTGGGGTTTGGTGTTCGGGAGGCCAGGCGGTGTGGCACGGCGGTGGCACGCTCCCTGGAGCCACAGCCCCGCGCCCAAGGCGCTCGTCCCGCAGTTTTCACTACCTTCCGGGTCCGTTTCCCGATTTCCCCTGTTTTTGCCCCAGCGGAGCCGCAGGGTGCCCCCGCTGCAGGAAGCTCCCCCAGCCCTTCCGCCCCGCGGTCACAGCTCGGCGGCGAGGCAGGATCCGGGGAGCTGGGGGATTTAATTTATTACCTTTTTTTTTTTCTTTTTTTTTGGTGTCGTTTTAGTTCCTTTTAACCAGCCGCCAGCCACAGCCCAGCCCTCGGGGTTAATCTGTAACCGGCGGGCACGGAAATCCCGTAACCGGCTGGCTGCCGCGGGCTGGGGGTGGGGTGCGCGCCGGTTCCCCACCCCCCCCTCCTTTTTTTACCCAATTTCGCCCGGTTTCGCCCCATTCTGCCGGTTTGCGAGCTGTCAGCCGGGACGAAGCCTTCCTCCTCCTCCTCCTCCTCCCTGCCCGCGGGGTCACCCCGCGGCCGCTCCCGGGACCCCGGCAAGAGGAGAAGGGAGGAAGAGCGGAGGAAGGGTGGGGGGTGGTGTTGGGGGGGGTGTTGGGGACACCCCCACGGATGCCGCGACCCCCGCAGCGCGCCCGCGCCCTCCCCTCCCTCCCGCACCCCGCCCCTCGGGGGGTCGCCCCCCGGTGCCCCGGGACCCCTCCCGCTGCCGGGGCGCCCCTCGGGGCTCCGTGCCCGCTCCCCCGGCCCCGTGTACCTGGAGCAGCGCGCCGGGCCCGCCGAGCCTGTGCGGCAGCGGGGCGGCACCGCCCGCTTCCCGCCCCCGCCCTCCGTCCCTCCCGCCACCATTCCCCCGCCGCGCATGCGGCGCCGGGGCGCGCCGGCGCGCCGCGGCGGGGCGGGACGGGGCCACGTGGGCGGGGCCACGTGGGGCGGGGCGCGCCGGCGCGCCGGCGGAGGGCGGGAAAGGGAGTGCGCCCAGGGGGGAGACGCGATCAGCGCCGCAGCCCCCATGGAGCCGCCGCCGCCGCCGGACCCGCTGCACTCACGGTCCCTCCCCGCCGCCCTCACGCTGCCCCCCGGCCCCGTTAGCCCTCCCTCGGGTCCCGGTGTGCCCCCCGAGCCGCCCTACAGCCCCCCTGCCTACCCCGTGCATCTCGCACGCTGGCCGAGGCCTGCCCCCCCGGCCCTCCCCACCCGGGGGCTCACGGTGCCCCCCGGGGCTCCTCGGGGCTCCCCGGTGCTCCTCGCTGCTCTCCAATGCCCTCCGGTGCCCCCCGGGGCTCCTCGGGGCCCCCCGGTGCTCCCCGCGCCCCCACAATGCCCTCCGGTGCCCCCCGGTGCCCCTCCGTGCCCCCCCCCGGTGCTCCCCGCTCCCCCCCAATGCCCTTCGATGCCCCCCGGCGCTCCTCGGTGCCCCCCCGCATTGCTCCCCGCTGCCCCTCACCCCCCCACACCCCCTCCCGGTGCCCCTCGATGCCCCCCGGTGCTCCCCAACGCCCCCCAGTGCCCCCCGCTGCCTGCCGAGCCCATGCCGAGCCCGCAGCCCCCAGCAGAGCAGAAGCAGAAGCAGAACCCAGCTGGGGGGCACGGGGGTGAGGCGGCCGGGGACAGGCTCCTGCTGGCCCAGGGGAGCCTGCCTGACCTCGAGGTGAGCTATGCCTGGGGGGTGGCTCCTCCTGGGGAGGTCTGGGTTGGCTCCGTGCTCATGAAAGTTTTGTTTTTTTGTTTTTTTTTTTTTTTTCTTTTATAGCGGCTGAACCGGGAGGTGGACGAGTTGCTGTTGGACATGCTGAGCTCCTTTCTGGACACGGTGGAGTCGCTGTACATCTCCAAGCTGCCTGGCAACAAGAGCGGTGTTTCTGGGGAGCAGAGCCTGCCCCAGAGCCCCGGCAGTGCCCCGGCCAGCAACACGCAGAGCTCGGACGTGGTGCAGGGTGATCACAGCTCTTCCCCCCAGCAAGGCTGGCCGGCACCAGAAAGAAGCGTGAGGGGAAACACAGAAGGAGATGCTTCCATCAACCCTGGTGAGCGATGTGGGGGGCCCTTCAGGCCTGGCTATGCATGGTGCGGTGCCTGAAAAAAAGAAGGAAAGTGTGCAGAAAAGCACCCTGACACAGAGGCCTCCTGTGGGGGCACAAAGCAGCGATGCAGAGACTGCTATCGTGCCTTTTCAGGCATAAAATCACAATTTCACGCTACTCGGATGTGGCTGGTGAGGTTTTTGTGCTGCTTCGCTGAGGCCCACAGCTTGACTCTCCCTTCTTTCCTTCCTTCCCCAGAGCCATGGATGGGTCAGGAGAGCATGGATGTGGCAGTGCAGCCGAGCACCAGTTTCCCAGTTGCTGTTAACGTGGATGCTGGACCCCAGCCCTTGCCCGAAGCCACCACGCAGGTACTGACTGCTGTGCCTAAGGCAGCCTGTGCCGGTGGGCCCAGCCTTTGCTTCTCATCACATTCCTCAGAGCAATTTCTCCCTTGCCTGTAGAAAAGGGAAGATACCTTTGGGAAAGCTTTCAGGGAGCTTCTGCATCCCTTCCCTGCCCCGGGGTGGGCTCCCTCCCTGTGCTTTGGATTTTCAGTAGGTATATTTCTTATTTCTGCTGTTTTTCTAGCCTGCCTTACCAGAGGTGGTGCTGCCCGGGGAGGGGAATCAGCTCCTGGAGAACAAAGGTGCACCACTGCAGACCGGCCAGCAACTGAGCAAAGTGAGTCCTGGCTGCAGCCTGCCAGTCCCAAACAGACTTTGATTCCTCAAAATCCTCAGACTTTGTTTCCTTTGGAGCTGAAAATGCAGGATGGTGCCTCGGCAGGGCCACACGCAGCAGGCATCAGGGTCCTGCTCCTCCCTTTGGGGCCCTGGCTCTTGGTCCTTGTGAGACTGACCGCAGGAGGCAGTAACACCACGAGTGCTTTCAGCCTTCTCCCTAATTGCCTGGTGGCTTGTGTGCTGCCTGCTTTTCGTCTTTTTGCCTTCCTTCGTTTTATTTTATTGCTCTGCTACGCCAGGAAGCTGCCGGTCTTATCAGCAGGCCAGAGTTTGCCTTGCAGCTTTTGCATTCATGCAGTGGCGTGGGAGGAGTAGGGCACAGAAGCAGGCAGCTTTCTGCTTTCAAGGCTGAGAGCTGTGCAGCGTTTGTCAGGGCTGTGCTATCACCTCGGGGGAGGGCTGCTGATGAGGAATGGCTCTTGCAGGCTGAGGAGTGGCTGCTGAAGAAAACGTGCCGGAAAATGCGGAGCCATCAGTTGGCCCTGGACAGCCATCGCAAGGATAAGATCTACGTGGTGGGCCTGGAGAACAGGTACGGGCACACAAACACACCACTGCTGTGCTCTGCTGCTGCTGGGGTCTTTTCTCCGCGGGCAGAAAGCCAGCAGACCCTGCTGGGGGGGCTCAGAAGCTCGGGGCATGGCCCTCCTGCTCCGTTAGGCTTGGGGGAGGCACTTGAGCCAAGTGTTGAGCAGACCCAGCAGTGCCTGTGGCTGTTCCCTGAGGAAACCCCCCTGGTGAAGTCCCTGCTGCTGACTAACGAGTTAAAACCTCTCTGTTTTTTTTTTTTCCCCCCACACCCTCTGCTGTTTGCAGGGTGGCAATCTGCACGGCTCAGAACCACGAGCTGCAGAAGAAGGTGCAGCTCCTGCAGAAGGACAACACGTGAGTTGGTGGCCGGAGGTGGGGTGGGGAGGGTCACAGCCAGTCGCTGAGATGTCGTGCCTGCTCTCCTGCAGGTCCCTGATGGAGCAGCTGCACAAACTGCAGGCCCTGGTGCGAGAGCTGACGGCCACGGACACCACGGCGAGGTGCCTGCACCCGGCGTGGCAGGCAGCACGAGGCAGGCAGGAGGAGGCTGTGCTGGAGAGGCTGAACACCGAGTCCGAGGGCACCTCGCTGCAGGGCAGCCTCAATCCCTCGTGGGGCGAGGGGCAGAGCCTGCCCGTGCCCGATCTGAGGTACGCCTTCAACACCAGCTCCTCCTCCTCTGACCCTGCTGCCGCAGCGGGCTCCGAGCTGGGTCCTCCCCAGCCGCAGGGAGCAGCTCTCCTGCAGCCACCCCTCGCCCTCGGGGGTGCTGGTGCCATGGAGAGCCAAGAGGCAGGAGTAGGAGGAGCGCAGCACCAGCGTCTTTATCCAGCAGCAGCAGCACACCAAGGAGATGTGCCCCTCGCCCCCTGCTTTCTGCCGGCCGGGGTGAGGCCGGGCGCCCCGCAGAGCTGTGTTGGCAGAGGGTCTGTCAGAGCGCAGGCTTTTAAATCATCTCCTGGCGGCTGGTAGCTCAGAGGGGGGGTTACCAGGGAGGAATTGTGCTGTGGATGATCCGTTCCTGCACCCCGGAGCTGTCACAGGAGCCTGCCCGAGGTGGGGTGGGGAGATCTCCGAGCTGGAGTGCAGAGGGTGAAGGGGAAGGCTGGGGGGCCTCCTGGTTTGAGGGGGTTCCTGTCCGCTGGCTGGGTGCTGAGCACCCCAGCTTTGAAGGTGTGAGAAACAACAGAAGTTGTGTTTTTGCAGTAGAGAGCTAGGTTTCTGTGTTCCAAGGTGGTTGTGTAGTCATAACGAGAAATGTTAAGTAGGTTAAGTGGACAGTGGAAGGCCTCGGCATTCCAAAATAAGGTAGAAGCTTGAGAAAAACAGGATGAGAAAAATAGGTGTGAGAACAGTAAAAACAAAGATCACGGGTTCTCAAAGTGTAAGAAAGGAGAAATTAAAGGGTTGGAAAAACAAAATAATTTTACAGATATGTTATAGAGGAGCGTTGAGTAGCTTGTGAAGCTGTAGTACTCAGTGAGAAAACACAGGAGGTGATCGGGTGTCGGGTAATAGGCAACAAGAGGTTAAGGTTTATTTACTGTAATGCGCTCCTGGTTGACAGGACGCCCACCGTTACAATCACAAATAAAATAGTTTCACGGGAGATCCTGTCTGGAGAAAATTATTGGAGATTTTCCTCACGCAATCAGCTGGCTCTGGGCTGGCCGGCTGAGGCTGGGCACGGTGCTGGGAGCCCTGCAGAAGCACCCCGAGTGCAGGAGCCCCCTGCCCAGCCCAGCAGAGGCTGGGGATGCGTGGCACCCTGTGAATAATTCGGGATGAGCAGGTGCTGAGTGCGCCAGCCTGCGGTGCTGTAAGCTGCGGCAGAACCCAGCAGCTTCCCCTGGAGGAAGTGCAAGGAGCCCGCCGTCTGCCCCCACCTCTGCTTTCATAAGGAGAAGCTGCACAATCGCAGGAAGTGGAGCAAAGCTGGAGTGGTGCAACAGCCCCGTCCCTGCGGGGGGCTGGGGGGCGACGGCTGCTGCCCGGGGGCTGCGTGCTGAGCTCTGCCGGGGTCACCGGGGTGGCTCCTGAGCCCAACGCGGGGCTTGGGGTGCGGGAACCCCAAGGGAAGGAGGCATGCTTGTGGCAGAAAAGCACTGGGAGAGGGGTTGTGTGGGTGGACAAGAAGTAAAACTGCTTGCTTCGTCTCCGCTCGTGAGAAGAAGAAGCGGAAGAGTGGGGCTGTGCCTCGGGACAGGTGGCAGCGCGCTTCTGCTTCTGGGGCGAGGTGACCCCGGGAAGGCGGCTGCTGCTCCTTCCCCAGCCACCTCCTGCGGTCTAGGAGCCCGGAATTGCATTTGTTTCGTTTTTTCTGCAGTTTGAGGGCAGGGTGTGTAATGCTGCCGGTGCCAGCTGGAGTCCCAGACGTTGGCCTGGGGCTAACCAGTATCCCTGCGCGCCGTCCAAGGCGAGACGTGGCGGTGTTGGCAGCAGTGCCGGGCACTGCACCCCGTACCTGCCACCCTGCCGAGCGCCAGGAGGGGAGAGCTGGGGGGTCTCAGAGCCTGCGCGTCGGGTCCAGGTGCTGCTCTGGAGACATTTCGGGGTCGGTGCCCTGTGTCCTCAGCCCCTTCCACCGCAGTAATGCTGTTTTTTCACCATTTTCCATGCTGCCATGCCTGCCTTGCAGCAAGCAGCTGTGAGCCAGCAAGGGGAAGGCAGCATGGCATGGCTTCACGCCGTGGCACAAGGGGCAGCGATGAGAAAAATGCCAGGAATGAGCCCTTCAGACGCATGGTGTTCCCATCGGGCAGAGGAACAGCAGGAGCCTGCTATTTCTGTGACCCCCCCCTCCTCGTCCTCGCCGGGGACTGTCCCTGACGGCTCTCCCTGCACGCACTGGGTGGCACGGGGCATGCTGCTGGCACAGCCACAACACTATCCCCAGCTCGTGTGGGGCTGAGCAGCGTCCTGAATCCCCTGGAGGTGGTGGGGACCTCGGGGTGATCGTGGGATGGGGGCCACAGGAGATGGGAGAGGCACTGGGACACCACAGGAGGATGTCCTGGCAGACGGGAGGTGAGAAGACAAGAGCCAGAGGATGTTTTGCAGCAAAGCTTTATTGGGAGCAAAGGAAGAGGAAGGAGCTGGGTCTGCAGCCCAGCACCGACACTGGCCTGGGACCCCACGGGGCCACCCTCACTCCCAGCGCTTGCGCAGGCGGGTGAAGGTGTTGATGCCGACCCTGTGGGGACAGAGCAGGAGACGTCAGGCAGGAGGCACGGGGCCACCACATCGCTGCCAGGTCCCATACCTTTGCCCCGGGCTCACCTGGTGGCTTTCCAGTCGTCATCGATGCTGTTGACGTGTGACCGCAGGAGCCACATGGTCTTCAGGATCTCCTTGCCGTGCTCATCCACGAAGCACTGGCCCGTGAAGACGGTGGTGGAGTCTGCGGGGAAGGGCAGGTGAGGGGAGTGTGGCCAGGTCTGGGACTCCTTGGCCCTGGGGACAGCTCGCTCGGGGATGGTGGCGTTGGGGCAGGGAGGGATAAGGGGACGGGGGCTGCATGGAGATGGGCAGACAGCAGGGAGTTCAGCCCCAGCCCCTCCTTTGGGTCCTGGGACCAGGAGGTGGCTCTGGGGGCAGGGATGGGGACCCACTGCGGGCACAGCAGGGGATGGGGGAGACATCGGGGAGCCCAAAGGCAGGGATCATCAGGGATGCAGCAGGGAAGGGCAGGACAGCATCAGCGGTGGGGTTGGGGGCAGCACAAGGAGGGATGGGAAGCCCCGGGGACACCGCAGGGAGGCTGGGCGAGGAGAATAACCTGAAAAGCTCCACTTGACGGTGAAGCCGAAGGTGGGCTGGCTCTTCTGGTTGCTGCTGTGCTGGTTTCCCCTGAGCGGTGATATTTTGATCTCTTTTGTCGTGGCCGTCACAGCCGTGTGGTAGGTGCCGGTGAACTCACCATTGTTGTTCACAGCCCCGATGGTCATGTTGGAGCCCAGGTCGTTGATCCAGAGCCCGGTCAGCACGCACTGGGGCAGAGATCGCTCAGCACCGGGCAGGAGGCAGGCAAAGAGGCCCCCAAACCCATCCCCAAACCGTCCCCATCCCCTTACCTTCTCAGCAGAGAGGCCGGGGGCCAGCAGGGCCAGGCCGAGCAGCAGCAGGAGGGAGGTCGTCGGCACCATCTCTGCAGCAGGTGGATGAGCGGCTGTGCTCCTCGCAGGGCTCCCTCGCCTTTTTATTGCCGCGGGGTGCCAGCTCTGTCCAGGGTTGGGTTGTGCAATTTGGGGCGGTTCCACCTCGGCAGTTCCCAGCTGCAGGCACGGATTCCCAAAACCCGGTGTTGAAACTGTCCCTCCTTGCTGGCTTTTACAAAGAGCCCCGCGGGGAGGCTGGCTGCACAGAGGCTTAGCTGGGGAAAACCCCTTTCAGGGAGGATGCTCCCTTCTGCTGACCCTCGGCCACCTCGGGGCTGTGGCCAGGCAGCACATGCTGTGCCCAGCAGCATTTACACCAGCCCCCGCAGGGATGACAGCATCACAGCTCCAGCCCGCTCCTCCTCACCCAGCTCCATCATCCAAAACAAATTTGGACCAGAGCTGCTGCGAGGTTTCCCGGTGTGCAGCTCGCTCCCGGCTGCAGCCAAACACCGGGTGCAGCCCCAGGGGCTCACGCTCTCCCAAACCCCTTTTTAATAAAGTCTTTATTCATTTCTTAATAAGCAAAACCCCCCAGCCCTGAAAAAGCCATTAAGGAGCATGAAACCATCACGCCCTGGGTGCGCCAGCATACAGGTCTGCTGCCGTGTTGGCAGGTTAGAGGAAAAAGGCTGATTCTGAGAAGCAAGCATTCCTCGAATATCTTGGATGTCGTGTTCTAGTGCTGACAAATATTATTTTTATGGCGGGGTTTTCAAGTCGCTTTATTCATGTATTTTCATACTTCCGCTTTTGTTGCCGGCCGAGGAGGCTGACGTGACTCAGTTCATGCCAGATTTTCTCATATGTTCCTTAAAAACATCCAAGGTGACCTCTTAAAAAACAAGTATTACTTCCCCAGTCATCACCCACAGGCACAGAGAAAAAGAAAATAAATCCATTTCTTGTAAGGAACAGCTCAGAAATTCATCTCTGTTCTCCTTTTGTTTTAGCCTCACTTCTGAGCCCTGGTTTCTCTCAGCTGCAGGACTGACCCGTGCCCGTGCTGCTGGGCACCTCGCTGCCACCTCTCCGCAGAAGCCTGCGGACCCCTCGCTGCTCCCCCAGCATTGCACTTCCCAGCAGGACCAGTCTGGGGATTTAGGCTCTCGTGGCTCATTTCCCAATGATTTTCCAGCCCTTGGTCTCTCTGCTGCACACAAACACATGCCCCTGCTGTGACAGCAGCCGTGCCTTTCTTGGAAAAATTCTCGCTGCTGTGTTGACTTTGCTTTTATCTAGGAATCGGCTGCACCTCGAGGTAGGATTTCCTATTAAGCTGCTGGGTTTACTTTGGCTGCCCGGGCACAGCTCATTTACACCTGGATAGGTTTCGATCAGCAGAATAGAAACTCCAGCATCAGCACTATTTACCATTACTTTTCCTAGATTTAATAAACCTTAGCCTGGTCGCGTGCAGGAGCTGGTGCGCAGGGTCTGTGCGCTGAGCATCCTCCGACGTCCCCCAAACCGGGCAGCACGTGGCGAGCCCTGCGATTGAGTCAGCCTTGGGAAATATTTCTCCACAAACGGTGGAGAAAATGACTCCTCTCTGGAACCAAAGATCACCAGCCCAGCCTAGAGAGCTGTCCGTGCGGGCCTTTCTGAAAGCTGGCCCTCTAAGATGCAGTGGTAACTGGTGTGCTAAAAAGAAAATAGTAGGATTACCCATTTATATGGTCACATCGAACCCCCCGGTCTTTGAAGGAAAGCCTGTAGGCAGCCCATCCCGTGGGGTTAATGAGCAACTCCAGCAGGTCTCAACAATTCAGCCAAGCCTTGAAGGAAACCTGACAGCTTTGGCAGCTGTTTTGGTTCTTTGCCTGCCGGCCCAGGACGTCACCGCGCACAGGGATGGCCAAGAGGGGTGAGTGGTTTGTTTTTCGGGGACCATGCACTGTGCTGAGCCCCCCGTGCTCACCCCTGGGGGTGTCCCCACGTCGCCAGCCTCACGTCCCAGCTGAGCCAAAGCCCTGGCGCAAGGCAAAGGGGGGGCTGGCTTCCAGGGGGCAGCAGGGGAGTTTCACCTCCCCGAAACCAGGTGGGTGCAGCCACCGGGCAGGACGTGAATGAGGAAAAGGATGCGAGGAGCCCAGCCCTGGTGACAGGCTGTTCACGGGGCCAGCCTCCCATGTAGCCTGGTGGCATTTTGGTACCCGTGCCAGTTTCGGTGCCTTCCTGGGGCAGGGAGTGTGAGGACTTCTTGCTCCCATCACCAGCCCACGGGCAGGATCTCACAGGAGCCAGCCTGCCCGCAAGGCATGCCCCCAGCTTCCCCCAGAAGGGGGACAGACAGCTGGACAATAGTTTGCTAGGCACTGGAAGTGGTTAATCAGCTGAAACCTGCTCCCCCAGCTCGCAGCACAGTGCCAAGCCAGGGCCGTGCCGCTCCGCTGAGCTTCAGCTGCCGTGCCCGCGGGGCTGGGCTGGGGATGCTGGCAGTGCCATCCTGCTGACGGGGAGCTCGTGGCAAAGCCTGTGGGGTGACGCAGAGACAAATCCTGCAGCTGGACACGGGGGGCTGTGGGCACCAGGACGCTCATATGGGTACATGCTGGGAATTGTACCGCTGGCAGACCAGAAAGGTGGGCAAAAGGCAAGGGAAGGGGTAAACGCTCTGGCCAGCCCTCAGTCAGCCCCATAGTGCTGCAGAGTGAAGCCCCTCTCTGTTTTGCTCTGCACAACACTGCTGCACGCCCACAGTATGAACTTTTCCTGGTCTGGGGAGAGCCCCAGCTGGCAGCAGAAGTATTGCAGCCCTTCTTCGGGGAAACCCCGCTCGAGCACCGGCCGTATTTTTATCCACTAGCACCAGCTGATGGATGTTGGTGGAAATGGAACAACTCGCGGAAACCTGGCAAGCCCGCTCGAAAGAGAGGCAGCTGTCAAGGCAGAGGGAGCCTGGAAGAATAAATCAGATTGCTTTGGAGACGAAACGCGCGTGGCCCAGTTTTGATGGGGTTGCGCAAAGAGCAGAGGACGGGACCCAAAATATGGGCTGTAACCAGAGCTGTGCTGGGCGGCTGGGCGAGCGGAGAGAGGTCGGGGTGACCGGGGAACCTGCACAGCCGCGGGGAGAGGCGTGGGAGTTCGTCTGCTGAGGGTGATGGAAAATGTTGCCTGATAAAGCATGGAAACGCTCCGTGCTTTGCAGGTCCCGCTGCCTGGCAGGGAATGAGGATGATTAAAAAAAAAAAAAAAAAAAAAAAAAAAGTACAGCCTTGGCTAATATGGATTCTTTTCTTTTTTTTTTTTTTTAATGTTTGAGGCTGGGTTAGGCTGTGGCATGCAGAACCTGTGGGGTGCAAGCTTTGCCATGGCCATGGGGCAGCGGGGGTCACCCCGAGAGCCCCTGCTTAGCTGTCACACCTTCACGGGGTGGGTGAAGCCGCATCCTCGCAGGACGAGGACAAGCTGTGCAGGATCTTCCCTCCTGGGGCACGTTTGCGCGTGAAGATGTTTCTGCCCACCCTGCAGGGAAGCAGAGAGGTCCCGTGAGACGACCCACATACGCAGCCTGCTCAGCGCCGCATGTGATGGGGGGTGTCCCCAAATGTTCCCCAGCTTGTCCCATGCAGCTGCTGGACACCCCGTGTCCATTCCCCACAACCCCATCAGCTCTCCCCCTCCTGGCTGCAAACCTCACACCGGAGGGCTCCCTTGGGGCAGCCCCCACGCCCTGCTCACCCCACTAAGGGATGCTCTGAGGGGTGCGGGGGAGGACCCATCCCCAGTGCCACTGCCCACCACGTCCCCCCGCTACCTGGTGGCTTTCCAGTCCTCCTCCAGGGACCCAACGGCTTCGCGCAGCAGCCACGTGGTGCTCAGCACCTCCCTCCCGCTCGCCTCCACGAAGCACTGCCCAGCGAAGGTGGTGGTGGCATCTATGGGGAAGGGGTGAGGTGGGAGGGGGACGGCACCCGATCACTGCCCCCCTGTGCTGGGGTGCCCCGAAGCCCCCCCTTTTCCCCAGGCAGACTTCCCAGGGGAGGACAAGTCCAGCTGGCTGCTGGAGCAACTCATGGTGCTGGCCCCGGTGCCCCAGCACTTACTGGAGAACACGTCCCACCGCACGGTGAAGGCAAAAGTGGGCGATGCCACCTCACTGGGCTGCTGCTGGGCTCCCTTCAGCGGGGAGACACGGGGACAGCCGCCGGCGAGGGTCACCCGGGTGAGGTACTCGCCCTGGAAGCCGCCGTCATCAGTCAGTGCCGAAATCTCCATCAGTGAGTCCTGCTCGTTCCTCCACAGCCCGCTGAGCTGGCACTGCGGGGACAGGGACACGGGCCATGCACCGTCCCCATGTGCAGAGCCCTCACCCCATCCCTTAGCCCCCTACCTTCCTCTCCGCGGGGCTGATGCACACCACCAGGGCCAGGAGCAGGGCCAGGGCGAAGGCACCGCTCCCCATGGCCGCGGGGCTGCCCAGCACCTGGCACGGCTCCCCCTGGCCCCTTTATAGGGCTGTAACTGGAGCCAGGGCCAGAGCAGGCCAGGCGAGGTCAGGGTGACCCAGGAAGGGCTGCGGGGGGGCTGCACACCCCGTGCCGGGGGCTCGCGCCGCCCACCGCCGTCCCGTGCCACCGCCAGCTGTGTGGTGTCAGCTCCTGCTGCCGGTCCTGAGCCATCTCTGCTGGAGCATGTGGCTTTGCTGGGAGATGGGGCTGCGGCCGCAACCCCAGATTAATCCCTCCGGTATGTGCAGAAGGGAACTTCAGAAGACAGCAAGGTATTAAAGTCTGTGGACCCCAGCCTGGTGAGACGGGAGCTCCTTGGCTTCATCTGCTTGGGAGAAATAACGTCTGGGTGGAGACATGCGGCACAGAGCCATTGGGTGCTGAGATGCTGGGCACTGAGAAACTGCCTGCTGAGATGCTGAGTGCTGAGCGGTTGGATGCTGAGGATTTGGGTGCTGAGGTATTGGATATTCATGTCTTGAGGTGCTGAGATGTCGGGTACCGAGATGCTGGGCATTGGGATGTTGCATGTTGAGAATCTGGGTGTTGCGATGTTGTATACTGAGATGTAAGGCACTGAGATGTGCGCTGGGCTGTTGGGCGTTGAGATACCGGGTACTGGGATATTGGATGTTGAGATGCTGGGTGTTGAGATGTTGGGTGCTGAGATATTTAGCACTAAGGCTTTGGGTGCTGAGAACCTGGGTGCTCAGATATTGGGCATTAGGTGTGCCTATAGGGCTAGGAAGCAGGCTGGGGAATCAGGAGGTACGTGCTCATTTTGGGTTTCATGTGCGTGGCTCACCCACATGGCACAGCCCACGGGCACGCTGTGGTTGGTGACATCCTGATAGCGTTGACGACACGGGCCCCCACCCTGGGGACAAGGCTGGCCCTTCCGGAAAGCTTGGTTCTGGTGTGCAGGATAGGGAGCCACATGAAAGGGCCGGCCCTGGGGTGCTGCAGCCAGCCACGGAGCCCCGTTGGCATCCAAAGTGTTGGGCGCTGAGGAGTTGGGTGCTGAGGAGTTGGGTGCTGAGGAGTTGGGCAGTGATAAGCTGGTTACTGAGGTGTTGTGTGCTAACAAATCGAGTGCTGAGGAGTTGGGTGCTGAGATGTTTGGGTTCTGAGGTGTTGGGTATTGAGGAGTTGAGTGCTGTGTAGTACTCATGTAGGTTTACATGTCAAGGTTTTGGTAGAAGGTAGCCATAGGGATGGCTTCTGTGAGAAGAATCTAAAACCTGCCCCATGTCAGGTAAGGGCCCCGCAGCTGACCAGAGGCGAGCCAGTAAGCGATGTTGGTTGCACCTCTGTGAGAGCAGATGTAAGACGGGGGAAAAAAAAATGAAAAAAGAAGCTGCACCTCAGAGCAGCTGGGACAGTGAGAGGAGTGAGGAACAGCCTTGCAGGCACCAAGATCAGTGGAGGAGGAGGGGGAGAGGCGCTCCAGGAGCTGGAGCAGAAGTCCCCTGCGGCCTGTGGTGAGGCCCATGGTGAAGCAGGCTGTGCCCCTGCAGCCCATGGAGTACCACGGTGGAGCAGGGTTCCACGCTGCAACCCGTGGAGGAGACCACGGTGGAGCCGGTGGCCCTGCACCGATGGAGGCTGCGGCCTGTGGAGGACTCCCACTGGAGCAGGCCCTGGGCTGGACCTGAGCCTGTGGAGAGGAGCCCACGCAGGAGCAGGGGGAAAGGAGGGAGCTGCTGCCCACCAGTGGGGGACCCGTGCTGGAGCAGTTTGCTCCTGGGGGATGGACCCCGGAGGAAAGAGCTGCGTGGGAGCACTTCTGGAAGAGCTGCTGCCTGTGGGCAGCCCACACCAGATCAGTTCATCAAGGACTGCATCCCGTGGGAGGGACCCCACAGCACAGGGGACGAGAGTGACCGAGAAGGAGCGGCAGAGAAGAAGCACTGTAGGCTGACCATAACCCCCGTTCCCCTGCGCCGCTCGGGGGAAGGAGGTGGAAGAGGGTGGAGGGGGGGGAGGTGCTTTTGGGTTCTTTCCTTTGTTTCTCACTTCTCTAGCTTGTTACTAATAGGCAATAAATCTTACTGTCTCCCTATGCTGAGTCTGGTTTGCTCAGCACTACAATTTTTGAGTGATGTCCTGGTACTTACCTTAACCCTTGAGCCCTTTGCATCGTGTTTTCTCCCCCTGGTCCTTTGAGGAGGGGGAGTGAGAGAGGCGTTGTGGTGGAGCTCAGCTGCCCACCCGAGTGAAACCATCACAGGAGTTGGGTGCTGAGGAGTTGGGTGCTGAGACATTGGGTGCTGAGCCATAGGGCGCTGAGGTGATGGGTGCTGAGAAGTTGGGTGATGATAAGTTGGGTGCTGGGGTGTTGGGTGCTGAGAAGTTGGCTGCTGATGTGTCCCCTGTGGCGGCACAGGGGACGCCGTGACATGGGTGCCACTGCTGGTGCCGCCACGCCATGGGGTGGGTGTCAGGGACCGGGGTCGGGTGATGGAAGAGGCAGTGGGACGCCATGGGGGGGACACGAGAGCCAGGGCTCACACATAGCCCAAAGGGACAGGAGGTGACAGGAGCCAGAGGTGTTTGCAGTAAAGCTTTATTGTGAGGAGAGGCAGCGGCATTGGCCATGCCCAGGTGTTGTCACGCAATCACAGAGGCACAGAGTGTTCTGGGTGGGAAGGGACCTTACCCACCACCCAACTCCAACCCCCTGCCATGGGCAGGGACACCTCCCCCCAGCCCAGGCTGCCCCCAGCCCCATGCAGCCTGGCCTTGAGCACTGCCAGGGATGGGGCAGCCACAGCTCCTCTGGGCAGCCTGGGCCAGGGCCTCACCACCTCTGAGTGAAGAATTTCTTACGAATACATGTATCTAATCTAAATCCCCCTGATTATAGTTTAAAGCCGTTCCCCCTTGTCCTATCACCCCCCGGCACAGAGTCCCACCCCAGCTCTCCTGTAGCCCCCTTCAGCTGCCACAAGGCCTCTAGAAGCCAGTGGCCAGCCTTGGGACCCCCACGGGGCCAGCCTCACTCCAAGTGCGTGTGCAGGCGGGTGAAGTTGTTGGTGCCGACCCTGCGGGGACAGAGCAGGAGACATCAGGCAGGAGGCACGGGGCCACCGCATTGCTGCCAGGCCCTGTGCCTCTGCCCAGGACTCACATGGTGGCTTTCCAGTCATCTTTGATGCTGTCGACGTGTGACCGCAGGAGCCACATGGTCTTCAGGGTCTCCTTGCCGTGCTCATCCACGAAGCACTGGCCCGTGAAGACGGTGGTGGAGTCTGTGGGGAAGGGCAGGTGAGGGGAGTGTGGCTGGAGCCATGAGCCCCGAGCAGGGCAGTGCCAGAGCCGTGGCTCCTTGGCCCTGAGGACAGCTCACTCGGGCTTTCCCTGCCCTCTGGCACACTCAGGAACTTTGGGAACAGCACAGACACACGCTGGGTGGGGAATGCCCTGAGAGCAGCCCCGAGGAGAAGGGCCTGGGGGTGTTGGTTGACGAGAAGCGGGACATGGGCCAGCAATGCGTGCTCGCTGTGTCCTGGGCTGCACCAACACAGTGTGGGCAGCAGGATGAAGGAGGGGATTGTCCCCCTCTGCTCTGCTCCCATGGGACCCCTTTGTCAGGGGCTGGAGAGATAGGACAAGGGGAACGGCTTGAAGCTAAGAGAGGAGAGATTTAGTTAGGTGGTAGGAGGAGATTCCTCACCCAGAGGTGGCGAGGCTCTGGGGGCAGGCATGGGGGACCAATGGGGACATGGGAGGGGATGGGGGAGCTGTGGGGACACCAAAGGTGGGGAGCCCTAGGGGATGCTGCATGAAGGGCAGGAGAGCCTCAAGGCTGGCACAGGGCAGGGCTGCCGAGCATCAGGGCACCACAGGGGAGGGTAGAGCGAAGGAGAAAGCACAGGGAGTGGATGGGAGCACCGGGGACACCACAAGGAGAGGAGACAAACCTGTAAAATTCCAGTTGACAGTGAAGCCAAAAGTGGGCTGGGTGTTGTTGTGCTGGGTTCCCACCAGAGGTGATGCTTTGATCTCTTTTTTCGTGGTCGTCACAGCCGTGATGTAGGTGCCAGCGAACTCGCCGTTGCTGCTCAGCTTCCCGATGGTCATGTTGGAGCCCAGGTCGTTGGTCCAGTTCCCGGTCAGCACGCACTGGGGCTAGAGGGGGTTCAGCACCAGGCAGGAGGCAGGCAAGGAGTCCTCAAGGGGCATAGTCCCACTACCCATAGCCATCCCCGGACCTAGCCCCATCCCCATCCCCAAACCCATCCCCATCCCCTTACCTGGTCAGCAGAGAGGCCGGGGGCCAGCAGGGCCAGGCCGAGCAGCAGCAGGAGGGAGGTCGTCAGCACCATCTCTGCAGCAGGCGGACAGGTGTCTGTGCTCCTCGCAGGGCCCCCTCGCCTTTTTATTGCCACGGGACTGCAGGTGGCAGCTCTGTCCGGGGTTTTGTTGTGCAATCGGGGTGGTTCCACCATGAAGGGGCCATTCCCACCCCTACAGGATGTGGTTGCAGATAGAGACTCCCCAAATCCGGTGTTGAAACTGTACCTCCTTGCTGGTGTTTACCAAGAGCCTTGCAGGGCAGCTGGCATCACAGAGGCTCAGCTGGGGAAAACACTTTCTAGGGAGGATGCTCCCTCCCTTCTGCTGCCCATGAGGGCCCTGGGGCCATGCCCAGGCTGCACAGGGAGTGCCCAGTAGTATCAATGCCCCAGCCCACTCCTCCTTCCCCGGCTCCATCATGCAAAGCAAACTCGGGACCAGAGCTGCTGCAAGGGCTTGCAAGCCCAGGGACTAGGTTGGAAACCAGGAGACACATGGCAATTGTGATCTAGTTTTCTGATTTCAGCTGGGGCAGGCAGCAGCTGGCAGTGAAGGGGGATCAGTGCAAGGACGGGGCTTAGATATTGTTCTCCACTGCCTTCCCTCTGCTGCTGCAGGGCCAGAGGTATCAGGCTCATTCACCAATGCGACAGGAACCTTGCTTGAGATGTCTTGATTCGTACTGAACACGCTCTTAGCCAAGACAACTCCTCCTCCTCCACCAGTCTGCAGTTTGGTATTTTCCAGGATGAAGCAGGGGAGGGCGACCAGCTGAAACCCCACCACTCCTGCCACCCGTAGAGCTGCTGGGGACGGAGCAGCTCAGGCTCTTGCAAGACCCTCCTGAGAAGTGAGAGAAGGAGAGCAGGGGAGGCTCACCTGCTGCTCGAAAGCTCCTCTCCCACTGAAGCACTAGGCTGTGGCTGCCTCGATCGCATTGCCCTGATCGCACTCCAGCTCCGGGAGGCAGGAAGCAACCTGCGGGCAGTCTGGCTGGAGTGGTTTCCTCACCTGCCCGCAGCCAAGTGCTGATATTTTGGGTACTGAGGTGCTGGGCACTGACAGATTCAGTTTTGAGGCACTGATGGATGCTACTAATTCCTTCATTTTTTTCAGGTAATCCTTTCACAAGGTAGTGCCTGAGAGGGAAACAACTAGACTGAATGAAAACATCGCCCATTGTCACTAGATCTCCTTTCTGCTTTGCTGCAAGGATGTAATCTGCCGACTTGAAGGATGTGTGTGGGTGAGTGGGCAGGTGGTGCTGGGCCAGCTGCTGTGTGCCAGGGTAGGAGGGAGGGCGTGTGCCTATAGGGCTAGGAAGCAGGCTGGGGAATCAGGAGGTACGTGCTCATTTTGGGTTTCATGTGCGTGTTTTGATCAGGAAGGATGCGTAGTTTTGTGCAGTACGGGTGGTCCCGGCCCAATATGACTCCCGTGTGCTGCTCCAGCACGGAGGATGTGGCCAGAAGCTGAGGGAGCATGCCCTTGCTGGCTCACCCACACGGCACAGCCCACGGGCACGCTGTGGTTGGTGACATCCTGATAGCGTTGAGGACACGGACCTTCCGGAAAGCTTGGTTCTGGTGTGCAGGATAGGGAGCCACATGAAAGGGCCGGCCCTGGGGTGCTGCAGCCAGCCACGGAGCCCCGTTGGCATCCAAAGTGTTGGGCGCTGAGGAGCAGGATCCTGAGGTGTTGGGCACGGATAAGCTGGTTACTGAGGTGTTGGGTGCTAAGGAATCGAGTGCTGAGGAGTTGGGTGCTGAGGAGTAGGGCCCTGAGGTGTTGAGTGCTGAGGAGTAGGGTCCTCAGGTGCTGTGTGCTTTGGCGTTGTATGCCGAGGTGTTGGGTGCTGAGGAGTTGGGTGCTGAGTAGTGTGTTTACATGTCAAGATTTTGGTTGAGAACTTGGGTGCTGAGGTGTTGGGAGCTGAATTGTTGGGCACTGAAGTGTTGGGTACTGAGGAGTTGGGGGCTGAGGAGCTGAGTGCTGAGGTGTTGGGTGCTGAATTGTTGAGTGCTGAGAAGTTGGGTGTTGAGAAATTGGATTCTGAGGAGTTGAGTGCTGAAATGTTTGGGTTCTGAGGTGTTGGGTGCTGAAATGTTGGGTATTGAGGTGTTGGGTGCTGTGAAGTTGGGTTTACATGTCAAGGTTTTGGTAGCAGGGGGCCATACGTGTGGCTTCTGTGAGAAGAATCCAGAAGCGGCCCCATGTCAGGTAAGGGCCCCACTGCTGACCAGAGCTGAGCCAATAAGCAATGTTGGTTGCACCTCTGTAGAGCAGATGTAAGACGGGGGAAAAATAAAAATAAAAAAAGAAGCCGCACCTCAGAGCAGCTGGGACAGTGAGAGGAGTGAGGAACAGCCTTGCAGGCACCAAGATCAGTGGAGGAGGAGGGGGAGAGGCACTCCAGGAGCTGGAGCAGAAGTCCCCTGCGGCCTCTGGTGAGGCCCATGGTGAAGCAGGCTGTAGCCTGTGGAGAGGAGCCCACGCAGGAGCAGGTGACCTGGCAGAAGCTGCTGCCCATGGAGTGCGAAGTTTGCTCCTGAGGAATGGTCCCTGTGGTACGGACCCATATCTGGAGCAGTTCTGGAAGAGCTGCTGCCTGTGGGAAGCCCACGCCGGATCAGTTCATCAAGGACTGCATCCTGTGGGAGGGACCCCACAGCACAGGGGACGAGAGTGACCGAGAAGGAGCGGCGGAGAAGAAGCGCTGTAGGCTGACCATAATCCCTGTTCCCCCGTTCCCCTGCGCTGCTCAGGGGGAGGAGGTGGAAGAGGGTGGAGGGGGGGGAGGTGCTTTTGGTTTCTTTCCTTTGTTTCTCACTTCTCTAGCTTGTTACTATTTGGCAATGAATCTTACTGTCTCCCTATGCTGAGTCTGGTTTGCTCAGCACTACAATTTTTGAGTGATGTCCTGGTACTTATCTTAATCCTTGAGCCCTTTGCATCGTGTTTTCTCCCCCTGGTCCTTTGAGGAGGGGGAGTGAGAGAGGCGTTGTGGTGGAGCTCAGCTGCCCACCCGAGTGAAACCATCACAGGAGTTGGGTGCTGAGGAGTTGGGTGCTGAGACATTGGGTGCCGAGGTGTTGGGCATTTGAAGAGTTGGGTGCTGAGGCACTGGTGATCAGTTTGGTAGTATCAAGTGAAAGGCAGGGTGAAAGCACTCAACCCCAGAACCACAGAAGCCCTGCACGCCCATGACGGCATGGCTCGGCACAGCTCAGCTCAGCACAGCTCAGCACAGGCCCCCAGCAGCCCTCACCTTCCCGGCGGCAGCGGGGTGGAGGCCAAGCAGGGCCAGGGTGAGCAGGAGGCGGCAGCGAAAGCTCCCCATGGCTGTGCCTGCCAGGGCCGGGCTCTGCCTGCACAGCTCCAGCCCCGCTCGGCCCCATTTATAGCAGCGGGGGCTGCGCAGTGCCTCTGGGCCTCCTGCCAAGGGGCACCCAGTGGTGACGGGCCACCGCCTGTGGTGGCACAGGGGACGCCGTGACATGGGTGCCATTGCTGGTGCCGCCACGCCACAGGGTGGGCGTCAGGGACTGGGGACAGGTGATGGAAGAGGCAGTGGGACGCCATGGGGGGGACACGAGAGCCAGGGCTCACACATAGCCCAAAGGGACAGCAGGTGACAGGAGCCAGAGGTGTTTGCAGTAAAGCTTTATTGTGAGGAGAGGCAGCGGCATTGGCCATGCCCAGGTGTTGTCACGCAATCACAGAGGCACAGAGTGTTCTGGGTGGGAAGGGACCTTACCCACCACCCAACTCCAACCCCCTGCCATGGGCAGGGACACCTCCCCCCAGCCCAGGCTGCCCCCAGCCCCATGCAGCCTGGCCTTGAGCACTGCCAGGGATGGGGCAGCCACAGCTCCTCTGGGCAGCCTGGGCCAGGGCCTCACCACCTCTGAGTGAAGAATTTCTTACGAATACATGTATCTAATCTAAATCCCCCTGATTATAGTTTAAAGCCGTTCCCCCTTGTCCTATCACCCCCCGGCACAGAGTCCCACCCCAGCTCTCCTGTAGCCCCCTTCAGCTGCCACAAGGCCTCTAGAAGCCAGTGGCCAGCCTTGGGACCCCCACGGGGCCAGCCTCACTCCATCACTTCTGCCCGGCGGGTGAAGGTGTTGATGCCGACCCTGCGGGGACAGAGCAGGAGACGTCAGGCAGGAGGCACGGGGCCACCAGGCCACCGCGTCGCTGCCCAGACCCCGTGCCTCTGCCTCGGGCTCACCTGGTGGCTTTCCAGTTGTCATCGATGCTGTCGGCGTGTGACCGCAGGAGCCACATGGTCTTCAGGATCTCCTTGCCGTGCTCATCCACGAAGCACTGACCCGTGAAGACGGTGGTGGAGTCTGCGGGGAAGGGCAGGTGAGGGGAGTGTGGCTGGGTCTGGGCTCCTTGGCCCTGAGGACAGCTCACTCGGGCTGTCCCTGCCCTCTGGCACACTCAGGAACTTCGGGAACAGCACAGACACACGCTGGGTGGGGAATGCCCTGAGAGCAGCCCCGAGGAGAAGGGCCTGGGGGTGTTGGTTGACGAGAAGCGGGACATGGGCCAGCAATGCGTGCTCGCTGCCCCATGTCCTGGGGAGGGGATGGGGGAGCTCTGGGGACACCAAAGGTGGGGAGCCCTAGGGGATGCTGCATGAAGGGCAGGAGAGCCTCAAGGCTGGCACAGGGCAGGGCTGCCGAGCATCAGGGCACCACAGGGGAGGGTAGAGCGAAGGAGAAAGCACAGGGAGTGGATGGGAGCACCGGGGACACCACAAGGAGAGGAGACGAACCTGTAAAATTCCAGTTGACAGTGAAGCCAAAAGTGGGCTGGGTGTTGCTGTGCTGGGTTCCCACCATAGGTGATGCTTTGATCTCTTTTTTCGTGGTCGTCACAGCCGTGATGTAGGTGCCAGCGAACTCGCCGTTGCTGCTCAGCTTCCCGATGGTCATGTTGGAGCCCAGGTCGTTGGTCCAGTTCCCGGTCAGATCGCACTGGGGCAGAGCGGGCTCAGCACCGGGCAGGAGGCAGGCAAGGAGGCCCCCAGGGGCACAGCCTCGCTGCCCATCCCCAAACCCATCCCCATCCCCTTACCTGGTCAGCAGAGAGGCCGGGGGCCAGCAGGGCCAGGCCGAGCAGCAGCAGGAGGGAGGTCGTCGGCACCATCTCTGCAGCAGGCGGACGGGTATCTGTGCTCCTCGCAGGGCTCCCTCGCCTTTTTATTGCCACGGGACTGCAGGTGTCAGCTCTGCCCAGGTTTGGGTTGTGCAATCGGGATGCTTCCACCATGAATGGGCCATTCCAATTGAGGAATTCAGAAAAATATTGTTACCAGTAGCTGGCTTCAAGGCCAATCTATGTGACTGCTAATCACAAGGGGGTTGTTTTCTTGCAGGTGGGGTTGTTTTCTTGCAGTTGTTTGTCTGAGTGCTTTTGACCAATAATCTTGTGTGAAACACTGTCCGCCCCTGTTAAGTTCTCTATAAAAGTTAGGCTATTCGGGCAATAAAATGGAGCATGATCTGACTCTGCTGGTGTCTGTCGTGCTTTCGGCCGTGCTTCCTGCAACATATGGAGCCCGAACAGGCTGAGACCCGAACAGGCTGAGGCTGGGACATCGGAGCGGCGCCGGGACATCGGGACACAGGAGCGGCGCCGGGAGACCCGAGGCACACGGCAAGCCGGCCACCGCACGGAGAGAGCAGTGGGTGACGCTGCAGGGCTACGGCCAACTCCGAGAGACAAGGACAGACCTGGCGGACGCCGGAACACCTGAGAGACGTTGAAACACTCTGCTCAGCGACCTGAACAACGGAATCGCGGCGGGAATCGGGAAACGGAAAAGGAATCGCGAAGGGACGCGGGAAACGGAGCCGCGGCGGGACGCGGGAAACGCAATCGCGGCGGGACGCGGGAAACGGAGGGACGCAGGAAACGGAGCCGCGGAAAACGCGGGACACTGAAATAATCGCGGTGCGATGCGGGACATCCGAGATCGAGTTGCTACGGGAGGCCAGAGGCGTCCGTGGACACCGGCAGCCGACCCTCACCGTGTGGCGAGTCGGCACAGAGCAGAGGGGCGGACATCAGGACCCTGCAGCCTGTCTGACATAACCACGGAGGCAGCGGCAGCAGCGGCTGTGCTGCTTCGCTCTGGCATTCTTTTTATAAAAGGTTTATCTTGCAATGCAAAAAAGACTATTCGTCCCCAGATCGGTGTTATAACTGTGTTTCTGGATAAGGTTCCGTGGGGTTGCCACATCCTACGGATTACTAATGACGACTTAGCTCTGTTGTGGGGCAGGAGTGCAGAGACGCAGATTACACTGCCAAATGCCCACCGGCAGGCTCGTTCACAAACAGCTTCTAAGGTTGCAGCCGGCACTGCCTGCAGCCGTATAGCAGGCGTTACACTCTCTTTCCTAACCAGTAATCATGTGTCTCATCCAGTTGTGGTGAATGGGCAGTGGAGTAAAGAAAAGGGGGAGAGTAAGGGGCGGCAAAGACAGAAACGGTAGCAGGAGGATGCCACTGACACTGACAGCATGGGTAACAGTAGTGTAAGTGACACAGGTGATGGTGCAGGGCGCTCTGCCTGCTGCTCGCCCTCGCCTGCCTGTGCACTGCTGCCGACGGTGCTAGAGGAAAATGTGAAGACTGCTCAGATGGCAGTGATGAGAGTGCTTGTGTGAAGAAGACGTGTGCTGAATCTGACTTTGTGTGCAACAGTGGTCAGTGTGTGCCAAACAGATGGCAGTGTGATGGGGATCCGGACTGTGAAAACGGGTCTGATGAGAGTGCTGAGCTGTGTCCTATGAGAACATGCCGGGTAAATGAAACCAGCTGTGGTCCTCAGTCGACCCAGTGTATCCCGGTGTCCTGGAAATGTGATGGTGAAAAAGACTGTGACAGAGATCCTGACTGCAAGGACTGGGGTGATGAGCCCCTGGAGGAATGCAACATAAATGAATGTGACTGTCCAGCTGGGTTTGAGTTTGTAGACAAGAGAAACTGTGGAGATATTGATGAATGCCAAAACCCTGGTATCTGTAGTCAAATCTGTATCAACCTGAAAGGTGGCTACAAATGTGAATGTAGCTGTAGCTACCAGATGAATCCTGCTACAGGAACCTGGAAAGGGCCATACGGGTACAGAAATACAAATAACACCCGTGTTTACGATGACACTGCTAAACAGGGTTTAGGGGTTTATAGCATGGAGACAAGGGGTAACAACTACAGTGTTTGGAACAATTGTGCAGCTTTGGCCTTGCCTCCTGATGTTTTTCTGATTTGTGCGGATAGGGCCTGGCAAGGTATCGCTGCAAATGCTATCAGATGTCCATGTTACTTAGATAAACTCATTGTATTTGCTCCTAGCTTGTCATGGTTGTGTGAGATCACCAGACATAAATGGGCATTGCTTGCACCGGATTGCAATGATAATGTTGAATTGTGTGGGGTTGCAGCTAGAGCGGCGTTGGCAATTTTAGTGCCTGGAGTGGCATCTGTGGCCGCACGTAGCAACTTAGAAAAATCAGTATGCTGGGCCGAGAAGCAAGCCTATGCCACGACAGAGATACTTGAGGAGATCAAAAATCAAAATAGTCTGCGACATGCGCTTTTACAGGATCAAGCTGCTATTGACACCTTGCTTTTGGCTCAAAGGCATGGGTGTGAGGACTTTAAGGGAACGTACTGTTTAAACCTTTTTGATCATAATGAGTCAATTCACAAATCCATTACTTTCCTGAAAGAGCACACGAAAAAGATTCAATATGGTATCAATCCTTTCAATCAATGCTTCACTGATTTGCTTGAAACAATGCATAGATGGTTACTGGGATTAGTCAAAGAGGGATTAAGGATTCTGTTTGCTGGGGTGTCAATCATCATTGCATGTGGTATTGTGATAAATGTGGTTAAAGGGTTACTTGCAAAAATGTTATATTGGGCATGGTTTGCTCAAAAAAAAAAAAAAAAAAAAAGGGGGAATTGTTGAGGGATTTTTGAAACAGCAAAAATCCCATGGCTTGCTGTAACTGAGCAAACCAATCTACCAGGGCAACTATGAGAAGTTCCCATGACAGTGTTCCCACATCGCCCAACTGAGGAATTCAGAACAATATTGTTACCAGTAGCTGGCTTCAAGGACAAGGTCTGTGTGACTGCTAATCACAAGGGGGTTGTTTTCTTGCAGGTGGGGTTGTTTTCTTGTAGTTGCTTGTCTGAGGGCTTTTGACCAATAATCTTGTGTGAAACACTGTCCGCCCCTGTTACGTTCGCTGTAAAAGTTAGGCTATTCGGACAATAAAATGGAGCATGATCTGACAATACTAGTGTCTCTCGTGCTTTCGGCCGTTCTTCCTGCAACACCCATCCCCTTACCTGGTCAGCAGAGAGGCCGGGGGCCAGCAGGGCCAGGCCGAGCAGCAGCAGGAGGGAGGTCGTCGGCACCATCTCTGCAGCAGGCGGACGGGTGTCTGTGCTCCTTGCAGGGCTCCCTCGCCTTTTTATTGCCGCGGGGTGCCAGCTCTGCCCAGGGTTGGGTTGTGCAATCGGGGTGGTTCCACCATGAAGGGGCCATTCCCACCCCTACAAGATTTGGGTTTGGAATTCTGAAAATCTGATGTTGAAACTGTCCCTCCTTGCTGGTGTTTATCAAGAGCCTTGCGGGGGAGCTGGCATCACGGAGGCTCAGACGAGGGAAACACTTTCTGGGGAAGACACTCCCTCCCTCCTGCTGCCCCTTGTTTGCACTATGGCCATTCCCAGGTTACACAGGGGCTACCCGGGGATATCAATGCCATATTCTGAGCTGCCAGGCAGAGAAGGACCTGGGTGTGATGGTGGACAGTCGGCTGAATATGAGCCAGCAGTGTGCTCAGGTGGCCAAGAAGGCCAACGGCATCCTGGCTTGTATCAGAAACAGTGTGACCAGCAGGGCTAGGGAGGTGATCGTCCCCCTGTACTCGGCTCTGGTGAGGCCGCACCTCGAGTACTGTGTTCAGTTTTGGGACCCTCGCTACAAGAAGGACATGGAGGTGCTCGAGTGGGTCCAGAGAAGGGCAACGAAGCTGGTGAGGAGCCTGGAACAAGTCCTACGAGGAGCGGCTGAAGGAGCTGGGCTTGTTTAGCCTGGAGAAGAGGAGGCTCAGGGGCGACCTTATTGCTCTCTACAGATACCTCAAAGGAGGCTGTAGTGAGGTGGGGGTTGGCCTGTTCTCCCACGTGCCTGGTGACAGGACGAGGGGGAACGGGCTTAAGTTGCGCCAGGGGAGTTTTAGGTTGGATGTTAGGAAGAGCTTCTTTACTGAAAGGGTTGTGAGGCACTGGAACAGGCTGCCCAGGGAGGTGGTAGAGTCACCATCCCTGGAAGTCTTCAAAAGATGTTTAGATGTAGAGCTTAGGGATATGGTTTAGTGGGGACTGTTCGTGTTAGGTTAGAGGTTGGACTCGATGATCTTGAGGTCTCTTCCAAGCTAGAAATTCTGTGATTCTGTGATTCTGTGAGAGGAGCCCACGCAGGAGCAGGTGACCTGGCAGAAGCTGCTGCCCCTGGAGTGCCAAGTTTGCTCCTGAGGAATAGTCCCCGTGGTACGGACCCATATCTGGAGCAGCTCTGGAAGAGCTGCTGCCTGTGGGCAGCCCACAACCAGATCAGTTCATCAAGGACTGCATCCCATGGGAGGGACCCCACAGCACAGGGGACGAGAGTGACCGAGAAGGAGTGGCGGAGAAGAAGCGCTGTAGGCTGACCATAAGCCCCGTTCCCCCGTTCCCCTGCGCCGCTCGGGGGGAGGAGGTGGAAGAGGGTGGAGGGGGGGAGGTGCTTTTGGTTTCTTTCCTTTGTTTCTCACTTCTCTAGCTTGTTACTATTCGGCAATGAATCTTACTGTCTCCCTATGCTGAGTCTGGTTTGCTCAGCACTACAATTTTTGAGTGATGTCCTGGTACTTATCTTAACCCTTGAGCCCTTTGCATCGTGTTTTCTCCCCCTTTGCCTTTGAGGAAGGGGGAGTGAGAGAGGCGTTGTGGTGGAGCTCAGCTGCCCACCCAAGTGCAACCATCACAGGAGTTGGGTGCTGAGGAGTTGGGTGCTGAGACATTGGGTGCTGAGCCATAGGGCGCTGAGGTGATGGGTGCTAAGAAGTTGGGTGATGATAAGTTGGGTGCTGGGGTGTTGGGTGCTGAGAAGTTGGCTGCTGATGTGTCCCCTGTGGTGGTACAGGGGACGCCGTGACATGGGTGCCACTGCTGGTGCCGCCACGCCACAGGGTGGGCGTCAGGGACCGGGGTCGGGTGATAGAAGAGGCAGTGGGACGCCATGGGGGGGACACGAGAGCCAGGGCTCACACATAGCCCAAAGGGACAGGAGGTGACAGGAGCCAGAGGTGTTTGCAGTAAAGCTTTATTGTGAGGAGAGGCAGTGGCATTGGCCATGCCCAGGTGTTGTCACACAATCACAGAGGCACAGAGTGTTCTGGGTGGGAAGGGACCTTACACACCACCCAACTCCTACCCCTGCCATGGGCAGGGACACCTCCCCCCAGCCCAGGCTGCCCCCAGCCCCATGCAGCCTGGCCTTGAGCACTGCCGGGGATGGGGCAGCCACAGCTCCTCTGGGCAGCCTGGGCCAGGGCCTCACCACCTCTGAGTGAAGAATTTCTTACGAATACATGTATCTAATCTAAATCCCCCTGATTATAGTTTAAAGCCGTTCCCCCTTGTCCTATCACCCCCCGGCACAGAGTCCCACCCCAGCTCTCCTGTAGCCCCCTTCAGCTGCCACAAGGCCTCTAGAAGCCAGTGGCCAGCCTTGGGACCCCCACGGGGCCAGCCTCACTCCATCACTTCTGCCCGGCGGGTGAAGGTGTCGGTGCCGACCCTGTGGGGACAGAGCAGGAGACATCAGGCAGGAGGCACGGGGCCACCGCGTCGCTGCCTAGGCCCCGTACCTCTGCCCCGGACTCACGTGGTGGCATTCCAGTCGTCTTTGATGCTGTTGGCGTGTGACTGCAGGAGCCACATGGTCTTCAGGGTCTCCTTGCCGTCTGTGTCCACAAAGCACTGGCCCGTGAAGACGGCGGTGGAGTCTGCGGGGAAGGGCAGGTGAGGGGAGTGTGGCCGGGTCTGGGCTCCTTGGCCCTGAGGACAGCTCACTCGGGCTGTCCCTGCCCTCTGGCACACTCAGGAACTTCGGGAACAGCACAGACACACGCTGGGTGGGGAATGCCCTGAGAGCAGCCCCGAGGAGAAGGGCCTGGGGGTGTTATTGATGAGAAGTGGGACATGGGCCAGCAACGTGTGCTCGCTGCCCCGTGTCCTGGGCTGCACCAACACAGGGTGGGCAGCAGGGCGAGGGAGGGGATTGTCCCCCTCTGCTCTGCTCTCCTCCCGTGGGACCCCTTTGTCAGGGGCTGGAGAGATAGGACAAGGGGAACGGCTTGAAGCTAAGAGAGGAGAGATTTAGATAGGTGGTAGGAGGAGATTCCTCACCCAGAGGTGGCGAGGCTCTGGGGGCAGGCATGGGGGACCAATGGGGACATGGGAGGGGATGGGGGAGCTGTGGGGACACCAAAGGTGGGGAGCCCTAGGGGATGCTGCATGAAGGGCAGGAGAGCCTCAAGGCTGGCACAGGGCAGGGCTGCCGAGCATCAGGGCACCACAGTGGAGGGTAGAGCAAAAGGAGAAAACACAGGGAGTGGATGGGAGCACCGGGGACACCACAAGGAGAGGAGACAAACCTGTAAAATTCCAGTTGACAGTGAAGCCAAAAGTGGGCTGGGTCTTGATGTGCTGGATTCCCACCAGAGGTGATGCTTTGATCTCTTTTGTCGTGGTCAACACAGCGGTGTGGAAGGTGCCAGCGAACTCACCATTGTTGTTCACAGCCATGATGGTCATGTTGGAGCCCAGGTTGTTGGTCCAGCTCCCGGTCAGCACGCACTGGGGCAGAGGGGGCTCAGCACCGGGCAGGAGGCAGGCAAGGAGGCCCCCAGGGGCACAGCCTCGCTGCCCATCCCCATCCCCAGACCTAGCCCCATCTCCTTACCTGGTCAGCAGAGAGGCCGGGGGCCAGCAGGGCCAGGCCGAGCAGCAGCAGGAGGGAGGTCGTCGGCACCATCTCTGCAGCAGGCGGACAGGTGTCTGTGCTCCTCGCAGGGCTCCCTCGCCTTTTTATTGCCGCGGGGTGCCAGCTCTGCCCAGGGTTGGGTTGTGCAATCGGGGTGGTTCCACCATGAAGGGGCCATTCCCACCCCTACAAGATTTGGGTTTGGAATTCTGAAAATCTGATGTTGAAACTGTCCCTCCTTGCTGGTGTTTATCAAGAGCCTTGTGGGGGAGCTGGCATCACGGAGGCTCAGACGAGGGAAACACTTTCTGGGGAAGACACTCCCTCCCTCCTGCTGCCCCTTGTTTGCACTATGGCTATTCCCAGGTTACACAGGGGCTACCCGGGGATATCAATGCCATATTCTGAGCTGCCAGGCAGAGAAGGACCTGGGTGTGATGGTGGACAGTCGGCTGAATATGAGCCAGCAGTGTGCTCAGGTGGCCAAGAAGGCCAACGGCATCCTGGCTTGTATCAGAAACAGTGTGACCAGCAGGGCTAGGGAGGTGATCGTCCCCCTGTACTCGGCTCTGGTGAGGCCGCACCTCGAGTACTGTGTTCAGTTTTGGGCCCCTCGCTACAAGAAGGACATGGAGGTGCTTGAGCGGGTCCAGAGAAGGGCGACGAAGCTGGTGAGGGGCCTGGAGAACAAGTCCTACGAGGAGCGGCTGAGGGAGCTGGGCTTGTTTAGCCTGGAGAAGAGGAGGCTCAGGGGCGACCTTATCGCTCTTTACAGATACCTTAAAGGAGGCTGTAGAGAGGTGGGGGTTGGCCTGTTCTCCCACATGCCTGGTGACAGGATGAGGGGGAACGGGCTTAAGTTGCGCCAGGGGAGTTTTAGGTTGGATGTTAGGAAGAACTTCTTTACCAAAAGGGTTGTGAGGCATTGGAACAGGCTGCCCAGGGAGGTGGTGGAGTCACCATCCCTGGAGGTCTTTAAAAGACGTTTAGATGTAGAGCTTAGGGATATGGTTTAGTGGGGACTGTTAGCGTTAGGTCAGAGGTTGGACTCGATGATCTTGAGGTCTCTTCCAAGCTAGAAATTCTGTGATTCTGTGATTCTGTGATTCATGTGCGTATTTTGGTCAGGAAGGATGCGTAGTTTTGTGCAGTGCGGGTGGTCCCGGCCCAGTATGACTCCCATGTGCTGCTCCAGCATGGAGGATGTGGCCAGAAGCTGAGGGAGCATGCCCTTGCTGGCTCACCCACATGGCACAGCCCACGGGCACGCTGTGGTTGGTGACATCCTGATAGCGTTGAGGACACGGGCCCCCACCCTGGGGACAAGGCTGGCCCCTTCCGGAAAGCTTGGTTCTGGTGTGCAGCTGATAGGGAGCCACATGAAAGGGCCGGCCCTGGGGTGCTGCAGCCAGCCACGGAGCCCCGTTGGCATCCAAAGTGTTGGGCGCTGAGGAGTTGGGTGCTGAGGTGCTGTGTGCTGAGGCGTTGTATGCCGAGGTGTTGGGCGCTGAGGAGTTTGGCGCTGAGTAGTGTGTTTATATGTCAAGGTTTTGGTTGAGAACTTGGGTACTGAGGTGTCGGGTGCTGAGGAGTTGTATGCTGAGGTGTTGGGCGCTGTGGAGTTGGGCGCTGAGAAGATGACTGCTCATGAGTTGTGTGCCGAGGGGTGTTGGGTGCTGAGGTGTTGGGTGCTGAGTAGTGGGTTTATATGTCAAGGTTTTGTTTGAGAACTTGGGTGCTGAGCTGTTGGGTGCTGAGAAGTTGGGTTTACGTGTCAAGGTTTTGGTAGCAGGGGGCCGTAGGGGTGGCTTCTGTGAGAAGAATCCAGAAGCGGCCCCATGTCAGGTAAGGGCCCCACTGCTGACCAGAGGCGAGCCAATAAGCAATGTTGGTTGCACCTCTGTGAGAGCAGATGTAAGACGGGGGAAAAAAAAAATAAAAAAAGAAGCTGCACCTCAGAGCAGCTGGGACAGTGAGAGGAGTGAGGAACAGCCTTGCAGGCACCGAGGTCAGTGGAGGAGGAGGGGGAGAGGCGCTCCAGGAGCTGGAGCAGAAGTCCCCTGCGGCCTGTGGTGAGGCCCATGGTGAAGCAGGCTGTGCCCCTGCAGCCCATGGTGTACCATGCAGGAGCAGGGTTCCACTCCACAGCCTTTGGAGGAACCCCTCCAGATGGAGCAGGTGGCCCTGCACTGAAGGAGGCTGCGGCCTGTGGAGGACTCCCACTGGAGCAGGCCCCGGGCTGGACCTGAGCCCATGGAGAGGAGCCCACGCAGGAGCAGGGGGACAGGGGGGAGCTCCCGGCAGTAGTGGGGCAGAGGCCGAGCAGGGCGGGCACCTGGTGGTTACGGGCCACCACCTGTAGTGGCACATGGGACACCATGACATGGGTGCCACTGCTGGTGCCACCATGCCACAGGGTGAGCGTCAGGGCCCAGGGATGGGTGATGGGAGAGGCAGTGGGATGCCACGGGGGGGACATGATGTGTGTATTTTGGTCAGGAAGGACGTGTAGCTGTGTGCTGTGCCGGTGGCAACTACTTCGGCCAGCCCGTGGCCCCTTTTCCTAATTTTCGCCTTCCTTTGAAGCAGATTGGCCAGGGCCAGGCGTGCCCTGGATGCTTGATAAACACCTCGATGGCCATGTCACAGCCTTGTGTCCCTGTTAAGGGGACAGACCCCTGCCCGCCTCCTCCACCCGGCTCGGCCGCAGGGAAGTAACAGAGAGACACAGGGCAAAGGTCTGCTGAGCACAGCAGGGTTTATTTGGCTCGTGCTGCAGGGTCGCTGGGAGGCGCTGGGAAGCACTGGGAGGCACTGGGAGGGAGCCAGCGGGCAGCAGGACAGCGGAGAGCCCCAGGACCATGGGGTGCAGGCGGCTGGGTCCCCATCACTTGACGCGAGTGAAGACGGAGGTGCCAACCCTGTGGGGAAGGGGTGTCAGTGGGGTGGGAGAGGGCACTGCCAGGTGGCAGCGAGGGCTGGGCTCACCTGGTGGCCTTCCAGACGTCCCTGCGGGAGGGGACCCCTTCCCGCAGGAGCCAGGCGGTCTCCAGCACCTCCTTCCCGCGGCGGTCCACGAAGCACTGGCCCACAAAGACGGTGGTGGAGTCTGCGTGGGGTGAAATGGGGGCTGAGGGGGGCTGAGTGCTGGTGGCTCCGAGAGGGGGAACCTGGGCCACCTCCCTCCGACAGACAGACACCCCTGCCATGTGCCCTGGGCAGACAGAGGGACCTCCCTGCCATGCACCCTGCCCTTTCCTATGGACAGACAGACACCCCTTATCCCTTCCCCAGGCAGGCAGACAGACGGACACCCCTGCCCTTTTCCACGGACAGACAAACACCCCAGCCGCCTTCCCCAGGTGGGCAGAGACCCCTTCTCTATTGCCAGGGCAGGCAGACAGTCCTACTAAACCCCCCCCAACAGACAGACAAACAGACAACAGTGCTCGCTGGCTGTCCCATGGACATACCTGCAAACTGCCACTGCACGGTGAAGCCGAAGGTGGGCTGCTGCCCCTTGGTGCCGGGAGGCTGCAGGGCTCCTTGCAGAGGGGACACCAGGATCTGCTTGTCGGTGGCTGCCACCGCGGTGTGGTAGGAGCCGGAGAAGGTCCCGTCCATGTCCAGGGCCAAGAGGGTCATGTTGGAGCCCAGCTCGTTCCTCCAGAGGCCCTGCAGGTCACACTGGGGGCCGGGGGACAGCACAGGGCAGTGTGGCATGGCACGGCACAGCACAAGCACGCAACCCCAAAACCACACAAGCCCAGGGCCAGATGTGCTGCACCCCCATGACGGCACGGCTCAGCATGGCCAGAAAGGCCCCCAGCAGCCCTCACCTTCCCGGCGGCAGCGGGGTGGGGGCCCAGCAGGGCCAGGGCGAGCAGGAGGCAGCAGCGGAGGCTCCCCATGGCTGTGCCTGCCGGGGCCGGGCTCTGCCTTTGCAGCTCCAGCCCCGCTCAGCCCCGTTTATAGCAGCGGGGGCTGCGCGGTGCCTCTGGGCCTCCTGCCAAGGGGCACCCGGTGGTGACGGGCCACCGCCTGTGGTGGCACAGGGGACACCGTGACGTGGGTGCCGCTGCTGGTGCCGCCACGCCATGGGGCAGGGGTCATGGGAAGCACCACGTCGGCACCAGCCGGGGACCCCGCAGGGTGACCCTCGCACCCAGGAGGGCAGGAGGTGAAGATTTAGTGCCAACCCCGCAGGGACAGAGGGGGGAACATAATTGTGGCCCTGCAGGGGGGGCACACATGCCTCCATGTCCTGCTCTGGTGCCAGGGGCGCAGAGCACCGTGCCCACTGGGTTGCTGCCCAGGCGCTGTGCCTCTGCCCCCGCTCACCTGGTGGCTTTCCAGTTGTCACTGTGCCATCAGTGTGTGGCCGCAGGAGCCACGTGGACCTCAGATCCAGGAGCTGGTGGCACGCTGGTCTCTGGCCAGCCCCATCAGCCTCCCACGCAGCCTGGTGGCATGTTGGTACCTGTGCCAGTTTTGGAGTATGCTTGTTCACTTCTAGTTCCCATCACCAACCTGCAGGCATGACCCCCCTGCACCAGGAAGCACAAAACACATACCTGGACAATAGTTTATTAAGAACTTGAAATAATCATCCTCTAAAATCTGCTTCCCTGCCCACGCCAGCTCACGGCACGGTGCCAGACCAGGCCAGGGGCTGTTGGGGCTGGGATTGTCACTGGCCCCCCAGGGATTGTTCCAGCAGGACCCCCCCCAGGTACAGGGGTCAGCCCAGGGGGCCACACACTACAGCATCCATGTGTCTATGTGTGGGTGGTGGGGGCGGCCGCATCCTGCACCTGGCCCCTACCCTACCACCCACAGCCTGCAGGAGAGGTCACGCTTGCTCCTGGGCACGAGGGGTGCAGGGGGGGATCCTGCAGGCTGCCGGAGCCTTGAGGGCACAGCAGCACTTCCCCATCTGCAACAGGACCCAACCCGTGCCTCCGGACCCCTCATGTGCAGCAGGAGCCCCCCCGAGGTGAGGTGTACATAGCTTAGGGGCTGAGGAGGTAGGGAAGGAAACAGCAAGTTGAGCATCCTTAAAGAGAGGAAGGCACGGGACAAGGTCCCTGACTTCCAGCTGAGGCCACAGGGCCCAGGTTATCCCCATTGCTTTGCTCGCTGCCCCCAGGCACAGGGCTGGAGGGGGCCGGGGGGGCACAGGGTGCCCGGCCAGCTCGGCTCTCCAGGGCCAGCTGCATGCTCCAGATGCTGAGGGGCCGCATGTAAGCCAGCGAGCGGTAGACTTTCTTCTCACAGTAGGCTTCGGGGGTCTGGAAGGCCATGCCCAGCTGCTCCCACACCGTCCTGTAGCAGCCCTCAGCCGTATGAAAGCCCTCCTGCACCATCCCCTGGGGGGGAAGAAGAGGAAACCATCAGCGTCTGCACTGCTCGAAGAGGACACCGGCCACCTCCGCCCGTGGCCCCTCCGCTCACCTCCTGGATCATGGTGGCAGCCAAGGCATAGACCACGCCGATCCACACCTCGCTGGACTGCACGCTGGAGGTGTCGGGCACGCCGCTGGGACGCATGCCATTCACTGCCCCCATGGTGCCGCCGGCGAAGCCCATGACGTTCTTCTCAAAGATGGTCTGCAGGGCGCTGACAACGTGGCTCTTGGGGAAGACCTGCATGAAAAAGAAGCTTGGTGAACCAGGAGCAGCTTCTCCATAAGAAATAGGATGGAGAATGCCAGCAAAATGCCTTTTTCTTCCCCAAAGAGAGAAAAGCAGCTGCTCGGGGGAGATGCAAAACTTCCCACTTCCCAGTGTAGACCACACTTGGACTGGCCACGTTTGAATTCCTGGTTATGGACAAGGAAATTTAGATTCAGCTCCGTGGAGTAATTAAAATCAGGGCTCAGTTTTTACTGATTTCAGCAGGACTTCAATCCCTGCAGCTGCGCTGCCAGGCAGCGATGCAGGACCGCGGCCCCAGCCAAAGGTTGAAGCGAGCAGGGACAGCACGGCCCTGAGGCTGGACCATGACACGTCCTGTGGCTCGCCGGATCTGGCACGAGAGGCTTGAAACTTTCACCCCTAGTAAAAGTTAAAAAGGTCTGTGAAAGGTCAGCCACGCTCGCTACACAAACAGCCGCTTCTGGAGAAGAGGGGAGGAAACGCAGAGCCTGCCCCGCACCCCCACCTGACGGGGGAAAAAAACAAGTTATTCAACAAACTGCAGCCAAAAGCTCAGGACACTTCGGAGAGCTGAGTAAGCTCTTGCAAAACCAAACCAAAACAGAACAACCCGAGCATGAAGAGGCCAACTGCCCCAAACAGCACAGACAGTTGCACGAGGACAAAGAGCCTCTGCACGCAGCTGAACGTAAATAATGCTTTTCCACAGCTTGCTGAAGATGAAAACCAAAAATGCATTGGCAGTCACTGCCTGGAGCAGGCTAACCCGGTGGCTTCTGTGGACTCATCAGGGAAAGGCACCGGGTCCCTTTTGTCTGTGCTGAAGCCAAGCATCTGATACAGTCATGTTTCTGGCGTGGCTGTGGATCTGGAGATAAGCACAAGCACTGCTTGGGAAGCCTCTTCTCCTGCGGGATGGTTTGGGGCAGAGTTTTTCCTCAGGGCTGAGGTCACTGATTTTTCTTACTTTGCGTTCCCTCACTGACCTGTACACACAGCAGGAACGCGTTACAAGCAGGAGTGCTGCCAGCAGGGCAAGTGATCAAAACACATGCAAAAAAAAAAAAAAAAGCACACAAAAAAAAAAGGATGACCGTAGTAAGCAGAGAAGTTCACCAGTGCAGCCTCCAGCAAGCTCAAAGCTCACCGGGCAGCAGAGAACGACACCTCAAGCAGCAAAGTCGGACATCAACAGAAACAAGAGGCGAGATTTTGGACTATGCCACTTTTTCTGATTCCAAAAATGCTGCTGGAGCACCACAGCTGTGAGAAACTAAGTTGTTTTTGCAGTGGGGATTTTTTTTTCCCGTATTCCAAGGTGGTTGTGTAGTCATAACAAGGAGAAATGCTAAGTAGGTAAGTAGACAGTAGGAGGCCTCGCTGTTCCAAAACAAGGTGGAAGCTTGAGGAAAAACAGGATGAGCGGTGTGGGAAACAGTAAAACAAAGATCACAGGTTCTCAAAACGTAAGAAAGGAGAAATTAAATGGTTGAAAAAGAGAAAAATAGTATATATATGGTATAGAGGAGTGTTGAGTAGCTTGTGAACCTGTAGTACTCAGCCCTGAGGAAACAGGGGAGGTGATCAGGCGTTGAGTAGTAGGGAATAAAAGGTTATGATTTGTTTACTAAAATGCACTCCCAATTGACAGGACGCCTGCCATTGAAACTGCAAATAAAATAGCTTCACGGAAGATCCTGTCTGAAGAAAATTATTCGAGATGTTTCTCGCACAGCACAGAGCTGGAGGGCAGCTCCCCAAATCCTGCAGGCTGCTCGCAGGGGAGGGCTCTTGGGGCAACCTCTCGGCACCAGCAGAAGCGACCCACGGCCCTCAGGCACCCGGCGGGCTGCTCTGAGCTTCCAGCAGCAGGGTCTGTCTCTTCCCTGCTGCTCGGAAATAACCCATAGCAAGGCTCTCTGCTGCCCCGCTGCGTCCCAGGCGCTGCGTTACTGCTGCTGCTCTCGCTGCCCCCTTGTTGCATTCGAGCAGTCTCCAGCCCATTCTCCTCTCACAACCACACAGCTGCAGCTTTTCATGCCCCAAATCAACCTTCATCTCCTCCGACACTCACTCAGGACTTCATACCAGGCAGCGCACAGCATGTGAAAACGCGTGTTTTCTCCCCCCCCCCTTTTTTTTTTTTTTAAACAAATACCATTTTGCTGAGAACAGCACCCAGCGGGACCTGGCTAGCAGTGTGCCAGGCTTGGAGGAGGCTCCTGCTGCACAGCCTGTTCCTCAGCACTCATTTTCGCACTGATTTGCCTCAAACAGCCTCCACCCCACTGCTGCCCCGTGCACAGGAGGTGCTGGAGCCCCCCCAGCCCCACAGCAGGCGCTCACCCTGCTGCAAGCAAAGCCTCCCCAGTCCCCCCCCTCTTACCTCCAGCTCCCCGTGGTCCAGGCCACACGCCCCCAGGAACCACTGCCCCGCACACTGATCCGACATGATGCTGCTGGAGGTGCTGCTCCCGCTGCTGTCGTAGTTGTAGTATTTTCCTGGAAAACGCAAAAAATAAAAAAATAAAAAAACAAATAAAAAAGGGTAAATGGGTGTCCGACCCCAGCACCCTTCCCGGCGTGGCTTCCCACCGACCAGCACCCACCGTTCCACAGCAACCTCTCGAAGGCCTCCTTGCCCTTCTGCAGGATGCCGCTGTACTTCTGCTGGGTCTCCTTGTCCCCCAGCACCTCTGCCATCTCGCACATCACCCGGACAGCCGCCAGCCACAGCCCCCCGCAGTAGGCACTGCCGGAGCAAGGAGAAGGACAGCAGCGTTGGCAGCGTGGCACAGAGCTCCCCCAGGAGGGATGGAGAGCGTGCCCCCACCTCCTGCGCTCCCCGGAGGCTGCTCTCCACCACCCGCCCCCCTGCTCACCTGGCTCCGTTCACCACCCACGCGTCGTACGTCTGGTCAGCGAAGCCCCCGTTCTCGATCAGCCCGTCGTTGTCCGTGTCAAACCTCAGCTCCGACTCCATCACGGCCTGCGGGAGGCAGGGGGAGGATGGCACAGCCCCTCTCGGGATGCCTCCCACCTCCCGTGTCACCCCTAGCAGGGTGTCCCCCCTGTCCCCTGGTACCTGGCAGACCGGCCACATGTCCCGCAGGTACGGTGCGTCGTGCGTCAGGTAGTAGTCGCGATACACCTGCAGCACGAACTTCAGGTTCAGGTCCTTCCAGTTGGCCGTGTCGTGGATCAGGTAGGCGTTGACGCGCTGCCAGGGCTCGTCGTCTGCACGGGGATGGAGAGGATGCAGCAGGGCTCAGGGCCAGGTCCCAAAATGTATCGTGCCCACCGCAGCCCTCCTGCTGCTGCTCACCATCCCCATGTCTCCCTTGCGCGGGCTCCACGCAGAGCACGCACTGCCACCCTCATCCTGCACCACCAGGGCCACCCAAGCCTCTTATCACCAAGCCTCTTATCGCTTTTATCTCTTACAGAGGAAGGGACGTGCTGCACCCCTCACCTGGGTCCCCGATGTCGTGGGGCACCACATTTTTCAGCTTCACCTGTGCCGTCTGGCCGCTCATCAGGTACTGCCGGGGCTCCACGTCCTCGTTTATCACCGTGACGGCTGGAAGGGATGCAGGGGGTTAGCAGTGTAGGAGACACCACAGCGAGCCCCGTTGCCTCCATCCCATGCTATGAAGCCAGCAGGGCATGGCACGGGGGGATTGCAAATCCCAGGGCTCAGCAGAGGGGCTGGAGGGGGATGCTGTCTCCGCAGCACCATTCCCTATGGCAGAAGCCATCCCAAACCCTCCGCCTGCTCACCGATGTCGTACTGCAGGCTGATCTGCAGCTTGGGCCACAGCATGATGAGGGCGAAGGAGGCGTAGAAGTGGACGTCGTAGGTGTTGTACATGCGGTACTCCTGCCCTGCAAGCACCGGAGAGGTGGTGAGGGAGGGCAGACCCGCCGTGGGGATGTCAGGAAAGGCAGGACCCCCTCCCCATGCCACGCAGGGCTTCACCCCGTGGGGGCTGCTCAAACCACCCAGGGTCAGCGATGGGGAGTGCATTTGGGACCGTCCAACGTGTCCCTAGGAGTTACCTTCTAAATAAGCAAACCTTCCGTACTCCCGCAGGACAGGGAGGAGGTGGGACAGGCTGGCCACCCCCGGGGTCTGCAGCTCCTGGGGGAGGCAGTCGTGGGGCAGCTCCAGCCAGACGGTGCCCCCATCCGTCAGGAAGTACAGCTCATTGAACAGCGCCGACTTGTACCAGGAGGGCAGCTGGCTGCGAGGGGGCAAAGACAGGGCAGATTCAGCCTCCTCGGCCCCTGCTGTCCCCTGCGGGGTCACCGTCCCCACCCGTGTCCCACCTGTTCTCCAGGACTGGCTTCTGCCACGCGTCGATCTTCCTCTCCCACTCCTCATAGTGTGCCAGGGCATAGCGCACCAGGGCAGGAGCCGCGTCCCCGTTGCTGCCGAAGAAGCGCGTGTACCGCCTGCCGAGAGCATTTTGGGGTCAGGGCCCAGCCCAGGGGACACCCCAAGGGGACCCGGGCACCCCAGCAGCTGTCCCCGAGCCACCCACCTGAGGTGCAGCTTCTCCTTGGAGCCGAAGTGGACGCGGGGCATGTCCCACGCCAGGGCCAGCTCCAGTGTCCGGTGGCCCCGTGCGGGCACTGTGCAGGTGGCACACACGGCTGCTGCTGTCTCCTCCCCCTTTGCTGTCACACTGCTTCTACCTGCCAGGAAAATTAGGTTAAAAAAATGTCCACGGATGTCTAGGGAAGCCTAGAGAGCCCCAGGGGAACAAGGCTTTTGGGGCATGCCCCAGCACCCTGCACGCCACAGGGTACATCCATTGCGTTTCGGAGATGGCACTAGCGCACATGAGTAACTGCTTTTTGCCACCAGGACAAAAATACCTGCTGTGGGTGAAGGGGGTTAAAAAAAAAAAAAAAAAAAGTCATGGAAACAGAGGAAAAAATGAGGCAGGAAAACCAGCAGGCATGTGTGGAATGGCTGGCACACCCCGTCACCGGGACTGCGTGGCTGCCAGCCCAGGCACCGGCACTTTGTGGTGACAGCCGTCGCCTCCAGCTCTCCGGAGGGTGCTTGAACTGTGCCCTTATTTAAGAAGCACCCTCCGGCGAGCAGGTAATTATATGCTGGTCCTGACATGTGTAGCAGGTAAACTCATTAAGGCAGCGATTTTCACAGCAGCACAGATCCTGCTGACGATAACAGCGAGCGTGCACGAAGGAAGGAGACCGCATCCTGGCAGCTCCGCGCGCCCTTTTCAGACAGCAGGTAGCAGACAGCTTTCCAGAAATGTTTATGCAAGCAATGACATAACTTGAGCTTCACGAAATCCTGCAGAGGCACGGTGCCAACACTGCAGATCCGTCAGCGCTACCTCGTTTGCAGGCTGGCCTTGGTGGCGGCAGCAGGTTGCCAGCACGGGCGGCGAGGTGCTGCCCTGCTCCAAAGCAGCCGGCTGCGGGAGCGAGCAGGCAGCTGAGGATGACGCAGAAGCAACAAGGAAATACCAGAGACCTTCAGGAAACCCTCGCAGCAACAAGAGGGCAGCACACTGCGCCGGCTCCAAGGCTCGGGAGCTGCTCAGTGCTCCCTAAACAAATGGGAACCGGCTCGGCTGGCGGCGTGAACTCGAGGAAGGCGGCCGGGCACACAAGCCTCGGGTGGATGGGACATTGGGACATGCAATTAATGCAGCCCGAGAACAGCCCTGAAATGGTGCAAGCAGCTCGTGGGGAGCCACAAGGTCAGCACGACAGGCAGCAGGGAATTTGGAGACGGACTGAACCCCAGCAGAAGGGAAACCCACCCTTGGTGAGCGCAGCACGGCTGGCACCCTGTAGCCCCCCCAGGTACTCACCAGAGGGGGACTCCAGCTTGCCATCCTGCAGGAGGTCTTGCCACACATCCCTGCCTGACCCCGCGGGATCAAACGCAGTAAGGTGGGTGACGGCCGTGCCAGCCTGGGGATGAGCAGAGCATCAGGAAATGCGATCAGATCCCCCCCGAGCTGTGCTTTTGGCAATGACAACCCACCAGCAATCCTACAGCCCTAGACTTGCTCCCCATCCATGCCACCTCCTGGTGACCTGAGGGCTTCAACCACGGCTTCTCTTACTGCAGACCCCACTCAGCACCCAGCTCCAGGGCTGTCCCCAGCCCAGGGCCACCACCAGGAGCAGCCCTCCCCGTGGCACAGCCCCATCCCTGCTGCCAGCCCTCACCTTCTCCCGGGCAGCCACAGCAAACGTGAAGGGGTTTGTGGGGGTGCAGTGGTGCAGCAGGACGCCGGCCACCCGCTCGCCGCCCTCCTGCAGGGTGAAGGGCTCGTTCCAGTGTCCCCCGCTCTTGTCCGCCTTCGTGCCCGTGCCGTTCTGCATGCTGAACATGATGGACACCTCCACGGGCTCCTCGTTGCCATTCTCCACCTCCCAGATGAACACTGCCACCGGCAGGCTGGAGTCCTGGGGGGACACAACATCACATGCAGGGCTTGCAGCGCTCAGGACTGCTGAGCCGGGGGTATTTGGGGAGCATTTGGTGCCCAAATCCCGATGCTGGGCAGCACGCAGAGCAGCACTGCAGGCTCAGGAGGGTGTCTCAGCACGTGCTGGTGCCTGCTGCCAGCTTCCTCCCGTGCCTCGCCGGGGTAAGAGCAAGGTCAGGGCTGTTGGCAGCTTCCCACCCTCGCCTGGGGCTGGGGATGAGCAGTGGAGAGGGGAAGAACATTGGGAAAGCCCAGCTGGGAAACCCCAGCTAATGAGCAGCCCTTCCCTTGGGGACGTCAGGCAGAAGGCAGCTGTGGTGCTCAGGAGCAGCTGAGCAAGCACCCGCACGTGAGGGCTGCGGGTGTCCTAAAGCCTTGCTGCTGAGCCTGCGGGCACAGGGCCTGCCTCTCGGGGTGGGCAGGAGCTGGGGAGCTGGGATGGACACCCAGCAAAAGCCAGGGCAGGGAATAAGCAGGACATGGTGTCAAAGCACAAAGAAGGGAAAGGAGCAGCTGCCGGAGCTGGAAGGGACAACCCCTGGCAGCACCGGTCTGGATTTAACAAATCTTGCCAGCAGCTGGCACCAGAGATGGGATATGAGGACCAACAAGCCCAGGTTGGGAAAGAGAATTAACACGGAGGAAAGCCTGGCTGGCTTCAGACAGAGCCTCAGCAGCATCTCCAGGAGCACGGGGACCATGAAAACACCACCTTGTCCCAGGGCAAGGGCAAAACCACAGCAGCATGCCAGGGCACAGAGCAGTGCTCGGGGCTTGCCTCACCTTGTAGTCATGGGGGATGACCGGGGAGACCTGCCGGCACGTGAGCACCACGTTTTGCCCCGGCAGCTCGTAGACCATCCAGGCACGAGGGTACAGCGCGTGGTAGAAGGCGTAGTGCCCGCAGTACCCCCAGTTCCAGCCCTGCAGCTTGCTGGGTTTCTCCACGGACAGGACCTGCTGGTAAACTGTCTGCCCCTTGCGACGCAGGCACACCGTGAACTGGGGAGGAAAGGAGCATGAGAGGGGTGAGATGAGCCCCGCTGTGGGGGTCTCAGTGGCACAAGCAGGGCGCAGCACCCAGCCCCGTGCTGGCCCCGCTCCCCAAGCTCAGCATTTTGGGGAGCCAGGGAGCCCTACCTGGTCGGCGATGACCGTCCCGTAGTGGTATTTCCCGGGGTTCAGCTGCCAGCGGCAGAACTCGCCCCGCCAGCCACGCGTGATGGTGCCGCCACCGATCCCGCCCAGCGGGCAGCCTGGGGGACACAGGGGTCAGCTCCCCAATTCCCAGCCACCTCATCATCCCCCTCGTGCCTCGGCTGCCCCACGCAGCCCCCACCTCGCCCCTCGTGTTCCCCAAATTCTCCCTGCCCCCACAGGGTCCCCTCGCCAACAGGGTGGGTGCTGCCACCACCTCCCACAGCGCCCCGTGCCCAAACCCAAGCTCACCGTAGATCTGCTGGAGAGGGACGGCACACAGGAGGTCAATGAAGGCCGATTTCTTCTCGATGCAGGTTTTCTTGTACCACCACCTGAAATACCTGCAAGGAGACCAGGAGGAGGAAGGGTGATGCACGGCTGAGCCCGGCGGTGACCATCAGAGATCTCCTTGCTGTGAGGATCCAGCCCTGGATGACCGGGCTGGTGCTTGGTGCCGAACCATCTGCGTGCCTGTGCAACCAGACAGGAAACACACACAGCCACGCAGCATTACGCTGAGCAGGTAGAGCAACGGGGAAAGGCTTTTCCAGCAAATTTGGGGGCGACGACAGCCTGCTCCCTGGTTTGGGAGTCCACGGCCAGGCACCAGGAGAACCGGCCCATCCCGCTGCTGCTATCTGCGGCCGCATCTGCTGCATCTGCTCCTGTCTCAGCAGCCCCGGTTTGGCAGCGCTCTCCCCCGAGGGGACGTGCCTTCACTCAGCACCCGCCCAGCAGCTCCCCGAAGGGTTTCTGGCTTGGGGAGGGAAGGAGCCCCCCCAGAGCTGGGGCTGCTGCTGCCCAGGTGCACCCAGACCCTTAGGAGGGGGGTGGCAGGGGAACCTGGGTTCTCTCCCCGCAGCACGTAGTGGAGAGGACTGGGATTTTACAAGCAGGAGAAATCCATCCTGCTCTGCAGCACGAGGAGCCACGCCGGGTCCACAGGGCATTGCTTTCCATGCAGGCAGGCTGTGGAATTAAAACCCGTCCAGGCAGCGCCCAGCCCGCCCCGGCGCCCTGTGCCGCCAGCACATCCTGGTGCATGCGGGGGCACCGAGCCCTGCGGGGCTGCACAGGGGCAGCAGGGGGGTCTGCACCCCACTTTGTATCCTCTGAAGATCTGGGGTGTCCCCTTATGGGGCCCCACAGCCACCCCAGGATATTGCAGGAGCTTTCCAGGTGCCACAACAGCCTCTGAGGGCTCCCTGCTGTGCGCCCCCCCTGCGCAGGGGGCAGGGGTCTCCGTTTATTTGACACCCACACCAGGTGAGGCCGCACCACAAGCAGGGTTTCAGCAGCTCGAACCCGCAGCCTGAACCCTGAGCTGGTGCAGCAGCACCCAAATCTAATCAACCCCATGGCCAAACACGCCCCGAGCCCACAGCACGGCCCCGTCCTCTGTGCTGGTGGCACACGGGGCCCGGCGGAGGCAGCCTTGGCCACGTCCTTGGTGCCAGCAGCTGGCACGGGGCTGCGTGCTGCCGACAGAGCCCTTTGCACCCCGATCCCTTTTCCTCCAGGACCTACCCACGGAGCCACCACCGGCACATCCCCAGCGAGCTGGGCAGGGGGACGGGCGAGCCGAGCGGTGGCCTCCACCTGGAGCCTCCGGGGGAGGCCGGGAGCAAGGCCGAGGGTGGGAAAACAAGCGGAAAAAGGGTGGTGGCGAGGGCAGAAAACACCGAGAGGGGCTGGGGGGCGAGCGGGGGGGGGCAAAGCACTTGGGGACAGCAGGGTAGGGGGTGTCAGATGGGTGTCAGAGCAGTGCCTCCCAGTGCTCCCAGTGCTCCCAGCACTCAGCATCACCCCCTTCCCCACCTCCCCGCCCCCCACACCGTGCCACCCCCCGTGTCCCCCCCAAAGCCCCCCACCCCCGCTTACCGCAGCGCCAAGCCGACGTGCCTCAGGACATCCCGCAGCGGCACATCCCCGGCTCCGTAGGGCCGGCGGGGCTGCGGGAAGCGGTGTGCGAGGCAGAGCCGCCAGCCGGCCGCCACCACGCCACGGCCCCGCGCCGCCCCCTGGTAGCCCCCCATCAGCGGCCCCGGCCCCGGCCCCGGCCCCGCGCCCGCCATGGCCCCGCCGCGCTCCCGGGCGCGCCCTTTCCTTTGGCGCGCCACGCCCCCGCCTTTTATTGGCCACGCCCCCCGCGCGGAGGCCACGCCCCCTCCGCCCTCCGCCTCCCCCGAGGCCGTGACGGAAATTGCCGAAGGTTCCCGAGCGCCCGGCGCCCGCCCGAGGGGGTGCCGGAGGTTGCCGAGCGCCGCCGGAAGTTGCCGAGCGGCGGCGGCGGCCTGAGGTGGGGGGGGGGGGAGGGGGGAAGGTGGAGGTGAGTGAGGGGCTGCGGCGGCGGGAGGAGGGGGAGGAGGAGGGGGAGAGGGGGGGGGGTGGGTGGCTCCCCAAATTTTTAGGGGGTGTTTTTGTGAGTGGGGAGGCCCCGAGGGGATGGGGAAGGGGAAGGGGAGCGGCTGCGCGCGGGCTGTGTGGGGGCGCTGGGCCTGGAGCCTGAGGTGGGGCCTGCGCCTGGGCCTAGGCCTAGGCCTAAGGGGGGGGAGGGGGGGGGCGGGCTGGGGCCGTCCCTGTGCCCCCCCCCGGGGGTGTTTGGCTGCTGTGGGTACGGCTCTGGCCACCCCTGTCCCCCCCACGGGTGGCTGCCTGCTGTGGGTATGGCCAGGGACATCCCTGTGTCCCCCCCCAGGGCTGTCTGTGCACTGTGGGCACAGCTGAGGCCTTCCTGTCCCCCCCCCACGGGTTTCTGCCTGCTGTGGGTATGGCTTGGGCCATCCCTGTCCCCCCCCCATGGGTGCTTGCCCCCTGTGGGTATGGTCATGGCCATCCCTGTGTCCCCCCCAGTGTCCCCGCTCAGCCCTTCTGCTCCATGGCACCACCCCAACCGTTTTTCTCTTTCTTTCCCTCTCCCCGTGTCCCCAGTTCTCTGTGGCAGGTTCGCAGCGGGGCCGTCCCAGCCATGATCGAGGTGGTGGCCAAGCTGGGCCGCGGGCCCGTGTTCCTGGCTGGGGAGATGCTGGAGTGCGTGATCACCTTCACCAACCCTCTGTCGGCAGCCTCCACCTCTGCCAGCAGGTACGGACGGCGGCACCGGGCCCTGCTCCACGCTCAGCCCTACAGAGGCAGCACCAGCACAGAGCTGACAGGGGTACCCGGTGGGGCTGTGGGGCTGCGGTGCCAGCTCAGCTGCCGGTCACTTCCCCACCCAAGGTGCTCCCTAATGGTGCTTCGTGCCATCTCCATTTCAGGGCGGAAACTGAGGTAATAGTTCTGGTTTTCTGCCCCCAAGGGAGAGACTGGAAAAAAAAAAAGTATGCAGGCAGAGGCACTGGGAGAGGTGCGTTTAAGTGCCCCTCAAGTGGCAGCAGAATTGCTGGCAGAAAATGAAGCCGAACTGGCTATCGAGGTGGGATATCTAGTTACACCAGAGTGAGTCTCTCGGGGCAACAAGCAGCAGCGTCATCATTTCCTACGTCTGTGGAGGGAGCCGTGTGTGGCAGCGAGCTGATGGGGCAGCGTCATCCCTGCTTCCAGAGCTGGCAGTAGCCAAAGGGGCGAGCAGTGCCCGGAGGGAGGAAGAGGCTGACTTCCGTGGTAGCCTTTTCTGTGGCCCAACCTTTTCTGTGGCCCAGCCTTCGGGCACTCCCCTCTCCTTGACTCAGCTGTGCCCAGAGCAGGCGCTGAGCAAAGGTGACGAGATAAGGAGCTTCCTACCTTGGCTCACAGGCGTGACTCACCCGCAGCCTCCGTGTCAGCAGTGTGTGGCCTTGTCTGATGTTCCAGGGGTGGAGGTGGTTTTCCTGCCCTGTGTCCTTCCTTCCCGGGAAGTGTTGATGTCCTGCCCGGTCAGGTTCAGCACCTTTGCATCACCACTATGACTGTCTGAGGTGGCTGCTTTGATGGAACCGCTTCCCGGGCTCGCAGTCTCAGCAAAGCAGCCTGCTGCATTGCCACCGGAGGACTCTTTTAAATTATCTTCCTTAACTTTCCATCGCCTTTTCCTTGTTTCTCTTGCCTGCTGAGCTAAACATTCAAATTCAGCCACGCCACAAAGCATCTAGCTTTCCAGAGCTTTGCCTCGTGGGGAGGTGGTGTTATTCTCCCCACTTTTGGGAGCATGGCACGTCAGGGAGTTGCTGGCTGTGCTCAGAGGGGAGTTGCCCCTGTTCTTCTGAAACATGTGGCACCGCACAGGTAGACGGTGGGGCAGTTTTGGAGGTTCACAGCCCGGTTTTGGAAGGTTTATTTGGGAACCTCAGGCCTGTCGTGGTGCCTAGAAAACCGCCTCTTGAAAAAAAGAAAGTTTTCAAACTTAAAAAAAAAAGTGAGCTACTGACAGTTGGCTAGGTCACAGGAACAGCTAATGGGCTGGTGGTTAAAAGATGAAGCTGCAGGTCGTGTAAGGGCAGCGGCCAGCACAGCGCAGCGTGGCTGTGACACAGCTAGACCTGTCAGGGAAGAGAAGCTTCCAGCGCCAGCACGTGGGGCTGTGCAGATGCAAGAACTGCAGCGTGTGTTTCAAGCACGGGAACAGGAGTCAAGGGCAGTGAGTACTGGCAGAGAGTGAGCTGGGTTTTGGTATATGAGGCGCTCAAGAAGCGGAGCTGCCCTGCCCCAAACCATGCAGTGTGGCTGGCGTGGGCTTCAGGAGGAGCTGCAGGGAGAAGGGAGAGGTGGACTCGGCCCCAGAGCAGGATCCCTGTGTGTCCTGGCAGCTGGACGAGGTCTGCTGGTAGGAAGGCACACACAAATTGTGTTTGTCCGTCTGGGTAAAGAATTAAAACAATTCAGCAGTATTTCATCAGGCAATGCTGAGAATAAATGGAAAATATGCAAAGTGCCGTGTTTGAAGGTGCTGTAATTGTGGTACGCTGACATAAAGTTGTTAAACATTGTTAGGGCACTCCCTGCTTCCATGCAGCAGACACCTCGTGGAAGAAAACCTTAGGAAAACGTTAGGAAAAGGAAGAAAACCTTATGAAAGCTGTGCTGGTGCTTTTGGAGGCACAGAGTAGCAACTTTTAGGGCCAGAGGTGTCTAGGCAGAGGATCCATCGTGTGCTCAGAGGGCAGCTAGGGCACACATGAGATCAAGTGGCGCATAATTAGCCGCAGTGAGTGCAGCAAGGTCTTTCCCTGGTTCGTCTGCACGTTCAACTGGTCTGATTAGTCACACCGAGGGATTCCCGTGTGCCACAAAAGATCCCCGTAGCGCCTGAGGTTCTGGTGTCAGTGCTTGCTAATGGGATTGTGATGTTGGATAACACCAGGGGCGCCGGACACCGGCTGCATTCACAAGTCTGCCATTGTTCCTGCAAGTCTGAAAGAACAGATACGGGGTTGGGAGCCTGGAAGATTTGTGCAGAGCTGTGGGAAGTGCCCATGGGGTGACCCGCAGAGGGGTCCTGAGGGGGTTGGAGGGATCCTGGAGGGGTTTGGGGTCAGTGCCCAGCTCAGGATTGCCCTAAAGGTATGTTTGGAGGGGGGACTGTGGGAATGGCTTCAGCAGCAGTAAAGCAGGGCCCACTTCGTTCCCAAAAAGCAGTCACGCATGGAGAGGGGCAGGAAAAGCTGCTGTCCTCCAGCCCGTGCTCACTGCCACCTATGTGTAAGCACAGAGTGAGTTTTGCTTTCCTTTGCCCTCAGCGAGATGCTGGCGTGGGCCAGCGCCCAGATCCACTGCCAGTTTCATGCCAGCGAGAACCGGGTGGCGCTTCCCCCCTCCGACGGCAGCAAGCACGACGTGCAGGCCGAGAACGAGACTGTCTTCGTCCCCAACAGAGGTGAGCGCTCCCCGTTTTTCGGGCAGAGAAGCCGAGCAGGGGTCGAGCAGGCCGTGAGGTGTGTGCCCGAGCCCCTGCTGGCTTCCTGCTGCAACTCCCTGCTGCGTGGCCACCGCAGGACCTCATTAATGCTGAGATCACAGCGGCGCTAGCTTGGAGCAAAACGGGAGGGTTGTCGGTCCAGCTGTTCTGGGAATGTCTCATGGTCTGAGCAGGACGTGAGATATTTCCTCCTCGGCCCCTTCTCTTCCCCATTCCTCCCTGTGAGGGTGAGGCACGGCTGGCCCCGGGCGCAGCAAGTGCCCCCCTCAGCCCACAGCCCCTCGGGGGCTGGCCAGGGGCAGCGTTCACGTGAGGTTTTGTCTCTTCTAGGAGAGCGGGGCCAGTGCATCCTGTCCACTCCACCCAAGATCCTGTTCTGTGACCTGCGGCTGGATCCCGGGGAGTCCAAGTCCTGTGAGTCCTGTCTGCTGCTCCCCCTCTTGCAGGGTTCACATCTGGGGGGACCCCTGCGCTCAGAGTGCTGCCAGCAGCCGGCCCTGCTGCTCGCAGGAGGCGAGGGGTGTGAAGTGAGTGCTAAGGAACACAGCCAGAATCTGTTCTCCACGCACTGCAAGGTGTCCCTCAGCTCTGCCCCTGGCCCGTGTCCTTTGGCACAGCTCCGTGGTGTGGCTGCAAGGCATGAAGTGTTCCGAAATACCTGTCTGCAGCTGCACGCGCCTGCCTTCCCCTGCCTTTATTTCTTCAGATGCACTGGAGCATGCTTGGAGTTGAGGCTGGCACCCTCTGCAGGCGTGTGCTTCCTCCTCAGGCCGGGGATGTCCTGGGGATTGCTGTCGTCAGCCTGCTCTGGTTTCCCTGTCCTTTCTGCCAGGAAAGTGAGCACTTCTCATCGTCCCTGGCTCGCAGCTCTCTGTGCCTCCCAGCCTCTCAGTGTTCTTCCAGTGGGCCCCCTTTAAGCTTTCCTTCATCGCTGCTTTCCCTTTTTCTCCTTGGAGAGCTTTTTACCCTTTTTGGAGGAAATCTGCAGCAGCTGATTTCCCTGCTTCCAGGGAATGTTTTGCACCGGCGGCTTCTACCTGACCAGGCAGCTGTGACAACACAAGCATGCGCTGTCGCCCCTGGGCTGGTGGCTGCTGACCCAGCCTGTCCCCTTGTGCCAGATCTCTGCATTGCAGCCTGGCATCAGGCTCTGCAGGCTGCACGTGGGCTCATTCCTCGGGATGTCCCAGCGGGGATCCACCCGAAACGGGCGATGGACACCTCTCAGGTCAGAGAGTGAGGAAGCCTCAGGTGGAAGGGGCTCTGCTGG